TCTCGAGTGGAGTTAAAAGCTCTGCAGTTGTCCGCATTCAAATTACAAAAATCTGAACTGTAGTGAACAAAAAAGATAATACAAGATCATTGGATTTGTATGTACTAAATTGTCTAATTTAAGCATACAAAACTGGGAGAACATAGCCAAAGCGCTAAAATTCAACCATGTCTATCCAAAAGCTTCTCTATCAGCACCGGAAATGCAACTAATCCGGCACAACCAACACAGGCTACTTGCAGACCAGCTACAACAACACAAGAAGTTAATTAACGCCAAAAAAGTTTATAGTTACGTAAGAATATAATCTTACGTGCATGAAAACCAGTTGAGCAGATAGCAGGACCATGACGAGATATAAACGCCAACAAAGTTTAAAGTTTCACCATATTCAAGGCCAGTAACTTGTACGGTTTACACATTCTTTCAGTGAGACTTAATTAACGACTGCCCTCTTTGCCCGGTCAAGGCTAGGGAGAGTACCGACGTTGTAAATCAGGTTAATGTTGTGTTAAATGGTATAATTTTTTATTTTTATTTTTTATAGAACAATATATTTGCACTAAGTATTGAAGGAATAAATTAGTTTTGAACTCGTTATCCACAAGACTGTAGGCATGGTATAACTTCTTGGTGTTTTCGACCACCTGAACAGCCCTTGAAGCACCGAACTCCACGTACAAATTCCGCCACAACATATCAGTAACTGGACTCAAATCTCTGCCTATGGTACTCTTCCGTGCGCACCTCAACTGCTCGTCCGTACATTTAATCTGGTAGGATTTTCTCGAGAACATTGGAATCCACTTTGCTAATGTCCCCCGCCAAGGTGGCGCATTATATCAAACACCGAAGATGGAGGAGCTGTTGCTGCTGCTTTAGCTTCCACAGTACTAGCCATGTTCGTAATTACTTGCTATTAGTCCTTTTAACTTTCGGTACGGTGAAAATTAAGAGAAATTCTCTTATTACACAAAGAATTTGACGTAGACTGGGAGGACTTATGTGGAACTGGTTAGCCACCACATAGCGTTCCAGTCCAACAATGCACTGATATTCCCCGATTAAAGTCTGAAATTTAAGGTAAACTTATCGTACACTCATATTAATATTATTTACTTCACAGAAAAAGGAAAATTCAAAGGAGTTGAAACAACCATTCAGGCTACATGTCCTCGCTACTAGTACAATACATACCTAGATCCATGATAAGTTTCATATCCCTGCAGTTTTATTTATGAAATAAATCCCTTGCTCTTTAGGCTCTCAACACCATCCTTGATAATTTGATCCATGGGAATGAATTCTAAACCCAAGTTCATTAGCTTCTTCGCTCCGCTCTTTTCCCTCAGCAAGCCGGGTTGGGTATCCTTTGGCAAACTACACAAACGTAAACATACTAGCTCGAACATTTTCAAAATCAGGCACTCACACCACCTAAAAATTTACAAAATTCTTCCAAGGCAAGCGAGAACGCACCAAACGGTTGATAAACTTGGAAAGCAACATTTGGAAGTGATTCTAAACAGACCAAAGAAAGATGATGTATGCAAATCTATACCCGCATGAAAACTCTTTTATAGGCAAAATCAGATTTCAATTCGCTAATTTGGTCTCAAATATCTATAACACATGATGGACGGAAAAAAAGAAAGAAAAAACCATGGTCCTCTAGCTGTAGAAGAGTTCAGTGCATCTAAGAAACCTCGGTTTAAAAAATCAAGACATAGTATATTTTTAAGTTGTGCTTCTGACAAGGGACGAAACATTCACTTATCAGGAAACCAAACATCTAAAACATAAGATATGCACCCAATTTCATTTGCAAATGCATTTTGTGGACCAAAACTTACCTGTGAACCTTGTACTCAGGGTAAAGTTCAGCAACCTTTGCCACAAAGTCACCATAACGTGATATAGCTTCCACACACAAGTGCCTACCGGTCGCTGATTTGTTCTCATACACTAAAATGTGTGCGAGAGCTACATCTTTAAAATGCACAGATCCCATAAAAAAGTCCTCATATGTTTCAGTGCAACCTGCAGCAAAGATCGAGCAACTCAAAACTATATATATGTTGTTTCCACTTTCTAGGGCCTCATCCTTTTTCTCATTCCTCTCCAAAACAAACTTTATCGAAAATCCTTAGAACTTAAAGAAACATGTGCTAAAAAAAGAGGTGAAGAGGAGTTCCTTTATGATTACACATACGCATGCTCACACAATCTAACTTCTCAAGCTTACGGACTAACCGGCAAAACAATTAGCAATCTCGACTGTTATGAAAGAAGAAATCTTCCAAGTGCTGAGGTACCAAACTCAATCTTTCCTTAGCAAAAATTGTTGATTATTGACTCAAACATGTAGTCAAAGTCCAAATCTTTGGGCTACTTTGTGGTAATGGGAGGCAAACAACATTTGTGCCTAATTTGTGCCTAATTTGTGCCTAACTCTTTTGACTTGATGGTAGGCCTTTGGCCATTGATGTCTTTGAGAAGCTTTTCTTTGGCTATAAAAGGAGAGCAAGGTGCAGCTCATAAGTATGGAGTAGAGACAAGAGGAGAACAAGGAAGAGAGAAAAATAGCAAGAAGCCATTCGGCATAGAGAAAAATTTTCTCAAATTGTCTTGCTTTGTATTTTTTGGTTTTCTCTTCCTATTGTAAGTGTGAGAGCTTGGGTTATTTGGGTCTTTGGGAAATTGAGTGATAAACACTATTGTATGTTCTCATTGATTATAGTGGAATACTCCGTCGTCTCCAAACTGGATGTAGGCATTGCCGAACCAGTATAAATCTTGGTGTTCTTGTTGATGTTGGTTTTTGTTTCTGTTCTGTTTTACTATTCACTTACAGTCGAATGCCGCTTCCGCACAACAAAAATGTCTTAAGAGAAAGAAAATACCTCATTTTTACCTCATTTTTAGTTCATCAACCAACCACAGCATCATACATAATAAATGGGAAATGTTCTCTTGCCATTGAGATGATATGTCATCGTACAAACTGTCAATCAAAGATCAACTTTCGTCTAAATTTATGATTCAAGTGCAAATTTCGCAACATTACATGGCATACTATCAGGCAAGAGAACAATAACCGCTAGTGGATTATTCAAACAATTTAAGAGTGCAGTGCTAGAGGATAAATAAAGTCAATAATCTACTTCTAGGTGCAGTCGTAGAGGATTTTCTAATACAAATTTGCAGAGAAAAGTACCCTCAAGAATGCGAAGGAGCAATAACATGCTAGAATTGAGCCTGGGCGAGATAACAGGGCCCATCACCGCGCCCGGATTCACCACAACGACATCCAGCCCCTTCTCCTTGGCAAATTCCCACGCAGCTTTCTCCGCCAGCGTTTTCGATAATGGATACCACAACTAGCCAAACACCAAACACAATCAGCATTACAGTCCCCAATTGTGAAAACTTCAAGTAGTTAAAAATGAAGAATTAATAATCAAAAGATGAAAGATACAGTAAAAGCAGGGGAAACGTGCACCGAAAGTAACATACTTTCAATAAGAAAATTGAATGCGGACATTAAACAGGGCGTTGGAGTAACTCACTCCCTTCTGCTTGCAGTAGTCAATGTCTGTCCAGCAATCCTCGCCCTTGACCTTATCGGACGGCCAGCTTGGGCTGGGAGTGATGGCGCATGAGGATGACGTCAGCACCACACGGCTGATCCCAGCCTTCTTCGCTGCCGTCAGAACATTAAGCGTTCCTTTGATCGCCGGGTCCAGGAGCTCCTTCTGCAGAATAAACAAAAAAAAGCACCACGTTTTCAAATTTACGCATAATTTCGCATAATTAATCAGATATAATCAAAATTAGAAGGAATTTGATACTGTTTTATGGCGGGAACCTCGGGGTCGTGGACTGTATCGATGATGCAGGGAGAAGCGAGGTGGAAGACCCCGGAGCAACCATTGACGGCGGCGAGTATGGAGTTGTAGTCGAGGAGGTCGATCTGGAAGAGACGGAGGCGCGACTCTGCCCCCTCTACTAACGCTTCTAGATGCTTCGTCTCGCCATCGTCCTCTGCAACAAACAAAACAACGGCGTTATTAATTTTGAACTGAACGCGAATGGAATGAATGGAACTGTGGCGGTTGTGTAGATAAGGGGAAAAGCAAGGGTGAAGTTACTGAGATCCTTGACGGTGGCGTGGACGGTGTAATCACGGTGGAGGAGGAGACGGACGAGCCAGGATCCGATGCAGCCGCTTCCACCGGTAACGCATACGACCTCACCCTGCTTCGACATCCTCCCTCCCTGCAGGTTGCAGTGTCCCTTTGCTTTCAGCGGTCGAGTGCTCCTCAGTTACTTCAGCTGATTGCATGCACAAAATCTAAATGGAATTTACAAATAAAAAGATAATGTACATCGAAAATTGAGTGTATAACGTACACACAATATCTCGAGTTAAAACGCTTGACTTCTCTTTAATATTTATACCTAATTTTTTATATTAGTAATATCACTTGTAATAAATAAATAAATAAATATCGTAAATAACTTGGATTTATCAAAATTATTGCAGAAAACTCTAATGAGCCACAATTTGTTGAAGAGAATTCTTATTAGCACTCCAAAAATCTTATTTTACACTCCAAATTTTCTATATTACGAATGAAAAATATACTTGTGAAGAGTGTAAAATGAGATTTTGAAAGTGCCAATAACATTTTCTTTTGTTGAAAAATATTAATATCTTTTGTATATGTCCCTTGTTAAAAGGAAAACTAATAAAAATGGTTAGAAAACTTTGAGTTTTAACGATAATGACAAAATAAATAGTAAAGTGAATAGTACCAAAATTGACTTTTTAGTGTAAAAATGTGATTTTTCGTTAAAATGAACAGTACAGAGAGCTTTTCGTTAAACTTTCCTTATTTAATTTTAGTGAATCACTGCATAGAACTTAGTAACCGCAGATGTTTTCTTGACATACATACATACATACATATATATAGTACTGTCTAGCTTACCTTAATTAACAACTCATTCAACGTAGTGGGATTTTGGAATTAATACAGTTAAATTTTGATCGTCGTCGTTTCTTGAGGAGGGAACTAGCGCCGCACCAAACAGCTTGGAGGTTTATTTGACCTAGGCCTCTGCACTATTATCTGCAATTTGGAATACAAATAATTATAATTATTTTTCATATACTTTTCACCTTAAATTAATTGTATTTGTACATATCCAAAACGAAGTAAATAATCAAAACACTGCAACTCACCAAGATTAAACGTCATTAGCACAAATCTTGACGTTTGGGATGTGAGAAATCTTGGGCCACTCCTCTCCACTGCTTTCTTTGCAACGTTTGGCAAGTGTTGGACAGTAAAAAATGGAAAGATTCTTGAGTGGCATTTTGCAGAGGAAGTCTGGCAGCGTTTCTAGCTCAGAGCACATAGTTATGTCTAAGGAAGAAAGACATGGCATGATAGTAATTCCAGAATCTCCTTTGTTCCACCCTTTCACGCCTCCCCAGTCCTTCCAAGACAACATGTTGTAAAAGTGGAGTCGCTTCAATTTTGGGAATAATATTGACAAGGATGATTTGAATGAAGATGTTTGATCATCTTCTACTCCCAAAAACTCACCACCAATCTTTCTTACACCCGACATTGCCCCGAGGTGGAGTCCTTCAAGGAACGGCAATTTCCCAAGAGGAGGCAAAATTTCACAAACACAATTATCCTCCAGAGTAAGGAATCGCAACTTTTTTAAAGACATCAACCAATTCGGCCAGGTCGAGCCAAAATACCCATAAATCTCTAAAGATTCCAGATCATCGTGTGGTCTTAAGACATCCATATTTCGTCCACTGCTCTCTCCGGCCTTGTCACGCACTTCACCAAAATCAAGTTGGAGATGAAAAAGTTGCTTGTTGTCCCGCAGTTGTGCTTCACTCCCATCTTTCACCTTCCCCAAAATTCTTATTTGGAGACTGCCGTGGAGCTGGTTCACGGTTCCCAAATCCCCAACTTGAAATGCTTCGTCATTGTCAACAGAAAAAAGAGGACAAACGTCTAGTGTTTGCAAACTTGTTAATCTCCCTATCCCTTTTGGCAAGTACTTCAGTGAGTCACTCTCCCCAACGTAAAGATGCCTTAAGCTAATCAACTTTCCCATGTTATCAGGCAATTTATGTAGCGATTTCCATCTTCGAAGGTCCAAGGTATACAAGTTATATAAACCACAAATGGTGTCTGGTAACTTCTCCAACTTTATACTCCTAGACAAATCAATATGCCTCAAATGTACCAATTCACCAATCTCTTTTGGGAGTTCTTTGATGGAATTTCCAGACAACCTTATCGTCCTAAGACATTTAACTTGTAAAATAAAACTAGCATATACCGTAGCAACACTTGAGTGAGTTGTTGTGAGCGTACGTAGATTTTTGCAATTCCGAGAAGTGATAGAAAGTAAAGCTTGATCATCAACCACAGATGTTAAGGTCAGATGGCGAAGATTACTGCCCAATACCTCTATTTTACGGTTTGCAACCTCTGCCTCGGTACTCAAGCATTCCTTCTTGGTGATAAATTGCACGAAGTCATGTACAATGTCATGCATTTTGCAACCTATTATCGCACCAGTGTCGTAATGTTTCTTAAAATCTTGAAAAAAAGACCGAGCAACTAAATTATCAAAAACAGCTTGACCAGTTTTTCCTTTATCTTTATTCTCTCTAGAATTAAGATAATCTTGTGCCATCCAAAGATTAATCAACTCATCTCTACTAAACTCATAATCTTTTGGAAAAATAGCACAATATAAAAGGCAACATTTGTTTCTCGGGGCCAAATCATAATAACTTAGAAATAATGGCTGGAAAACTTCTTGCTCCACTTCTTCCCAATCCCATATTTTACTATTCAGAACCTTCAACCATTCACTCCTTGTCCTCTTATCTCGCATCATACTACCTAAAGTCTTTGCAACAAGTGGCAAACCCTTACACTTTCTTACAATCTCCCTACTGATTTCTCCAAACACCTCAAACTCGCCTATTTCTCTATTAGAAAATGCCATGTGATTGAAGATTGACAAACAATTTTGTTCGCTCAACTCTGCAAGATTGATCATGTGAGAGGTTGCTTCCATCATACTAGCAACATTTTCTTTTCTGGTGGTTACTAGTATTCTACTGCCCTCAGCCCCATTTTGCATCAATGGAACCTTTAATTGATACCACTTTTTACGGTCTTCAGTCCACACATCATCCAACACAAGAAGAAACTTTACCCCTTTAATGGATCGAGACATAGATTCTAAGACATGATCCAACCCAGTTGAACTTGAGGTGGCATCACCACTAATCTCTTTGGCAATCTTTGTCTCATCGAAAGGCTCTGACACACAAACCCATATTCTCTTTTGAAAATGAGCTTTAACATTGGCATCATTATAGACTAACTGAGCCAAAGTTGTCTTTCCCATACCTCCCATCCCTACAATAGGGATGATGAGGAGCCCCCTCCCTTCTTCACTACCATCACTCACCAACTTCCTTATCAAACTATCCTTTTCCTTTTCTCGACCAAATATCTCAGACATATCGACAAAAGACGAAGTTTGCTGTTTTTGAATGACTATTTCAGTGAGTTGAAAATTATACATTTTTCTTTGCTTATAAATCCCAACTAACTGCTCATTTAGATCCTTTATCTTGAGAGCAATTTCACGACGAATAATAACCTTGCCGACTTGGCCAAGACAAAAACAACGAGCGAAGATAGCAAAACTTACCTTCCTCTGATGAGTAATATGAGTTGTGCCTTCTCCTTCTTGTTTCTCAACTTCTTGTCTCAGAACGTCAGTGTTCCACTCATCCAGCACGTCCACCATCTGGTACGATATTTCCTTCAGGTTATCCAGCCAGTTTTGCACGTTTGCCTCCTTCATTTGCCTTTGCTCTGCATCCTCAAGCATAGATTCAATAGCTTTCAGGTTGCCAGTGAACTCTTCAACTTCTTTCTTAACATTTAGAATGAGTGTCAGCTCGTCCTCTACGTACTCATAAGTTGTTGTAGCCAACTTCTCTAGTAGCATGGAAACGAGGGCGTCAGCCATTTTCAGGGTTACAAACTTAGAAATCGGTTGAGAGTGGAGAAGAAGAAGAAGAAGAAGAAGAAGAAGAAGAAGAAGAAGTCAGCTGCGTAGGAATGTATACATGAAGAGGAAACTAATGCAGGATGGTTGTGCTATAGCTTTTCTTCTTTGCTAGTTTATATAGACAGTGGACACCTTTGTTTTCCCGTTTGCTTTCTTAATGCAAGATTCTTTGCTCTTAATACCAAAAAGATTTTCCTTGATGCTGCTGTTTGCTCTCCTTGGATGAAAGGAACAACAAATTTCAGGGGTGAATATATACTGGCAGTGTCGGCAAGTAGTCTAAATTTGTTTTTTAGAACGTAAACCTTATGAAGAAATTGGAGTTCAACCATAAAACCAATTGACAATATGGGGAAGTAGCCCAACTTACTTTTAAGTCTATGCATAGTTTCTCCTATCAATGTGAGATTCATTCTCAACATCTTTTCAACATCTCATATAAACAAATTAACATGATGGCTTATGAATCAATCCTCGATAAGAAGCAAGCATTAGGTCACGGGTATTTGGCATTCGTGCCACTGTTCTCTTTGGCAATTTTTTTTTTTTTTAAATTTATATTTGATTTCTAGCTACGAATGTTCTTTAATTGAGACTTACTGGTTTTCTGGTTTTGATATCCAAAATCATTTGTCTATTTAATTATTACGATGAAATTTCATTGTTTCTTATAGAACAAAATGTTCCTCAATTTCAAGGTTTCTTGCAAAAATTCAATTTAATCCGCAACCATTTGCTTATTTAATTATCACGATGAAATTCAATCCGAACCGTCTATGGTGACTTGTTAAGATTCTTTGATTTTATAAAGCAAGATTCTTTGATTTACCAAGATTTTACCTTGATGCTGCAGTTTACTGTGTGGAGAGAAAGGATTAACGAAAACTTTAGGAGTGAATCTGAATGCCTATCCAGCAAGCAAGCTCATTTCTTTAGAGCAGCGTAAACCTTCTTCTCAAAATCCGAATATCTTTCATGAGTTGAGACTTCCTGCCGGGAATTAATCCTTTCGTTTGGGTGTTTGTTTGTTGAATTACAAATCTAAATCAATGATCATACCGCTAAAAATACGGTGTAGATTCTCAAAAAATCTCAACTGTAGTCGAGAGAATGCATAACACAAAATCATTGGATTTGTATGTTCGCTAGAACATCCCTTCATAAATGATTTTGGATAAATAACCATAACAAGGGCTGAAGTTGAACCTAAGCAAAAACATTCGTATCACTGCAGGGCACTTCTGCTGAATTGTCATATTTTTAGTGTCTGCAAAACTGGTGCAGCACAGGCAAAGCGCTCAAACTCAATCATGTCTATCCAAAAACTTCTCTATCAGCACTGAAAATGCAGCAAAGCCGGCACAACCAACGCAGGCCGCTTGCAGACCAGCTACAACAGGACAACATAAAGAGGTGTAAGGGTCTATTCTTAACATGCACGAAAACAAATTATGCAGATAGCAAGCTACTATGATGAGAATAACACCAAGAAGGCCGGTACTAGTCCGGTTTATTCATTCTTTCGCCCATGTTATATCACATATCTTTGAGGGCAAGGGAGTGTTCCATCAGTGGAAATTACCAACATTCTACACAAGTAGAGTCAAGGACTCTGGATTCCTGTTTTGACATCGTATGAGAAATAAAACCAGAATCTGTGGCTGAATTCAGTTCATTATAAAGGTATATGCAACCTCTTAATATTTGAATTATCCTTATTTGTTAATAAATACAACAAAGATGACAATCCGGTTTAGGTTTCAATGCATTCAATGGAATATTTTCCCTTAGAAGACAATTCCTGTATCTAAGTCCGGTTAAGGCACTATAAACCATAGTTCTCCTTAAGTATGTGATTTTCTTCGATTTCGGGTTCGAGACTTGAGAGCAGTCTCTCCATAAATGGGGGTAAGGCTAGCCGACATTCACCTCTCCCAGACCCTGCGTAAAGCGGGAGCCTTGTGCACTGGGTACGACCTTTTTTTCGGCAAAGGTCGTATATCCTAAAATGCAGTCTATCTGGTTAGGGCATAAATTTAACATGTAGAACTCATTACGTACAAGAGAACAGGAGAATCATGCAAACCATAAATCTTGTTACAACATCTATGTAATTCACAACCCTTATTATCAAGAAGCTAATCCGAATTATATTGCAGTTACGCCTCAATTCCATCTTCAAGTTACTATATGGAAAGCCCTAACATCATCAGTCAAAGAATTCGAACATAAAGCATTCAGTTCTTGTAGTGAATAAGAATTCATCCAACAAATTAAATATCCAACAAATACTGTTGAAAATCATAACATTCATGCTAGGGCATCATCCTAGCCCTAGAAAAGAGTTTAGTTATTCATAGAGCACGAAAACATAATGAAAAGTCTAGAAAACATGGAAAACTTATAAACGATGTAGAAGGATAGAACGATGGCTGATGGCCGCTGCTTCTCCTCTTCAAACTTTGCAGAAAATCTCTCTCCAAAACGTCCCTCCGACTTCCTACAACCTATATTGGTCAAAATCCTATCGGTCTTGTGCAATCTTTTCCTCATTTGTATTGCATGACTGATGATGTGGCGAGTAAACTTCCCAAGTAACTTACTTCAGACCCTATTGAAATAGGATTAAAGTCATCTGTACAAGCTCTCTTGGGCAATGGGCTTCAAGTGAATTATCACCCGTAAAATTTCTTTGAAAGCTAACTTCAATATCTTTGCAATGGTATAAGGCTCAATAGCTGGTTCCTTCTGAAGTACAGTTTATTCGGTCAAGTTGGCTATTCTGCGCAGACAGTGTCTGCTTCCAGGAAGCAAAACTCGTTTCAATTGCAAAATCCCTCCATTTTCTTGTTTCTTCATCTTTACTCCTCGAACCAAAGAACACAAAACTAAGTAAAAGAGAACTGAATTCACTTAAAACAATCACAATAATCCAAATAAAAAGGAAATAAAATGTATGGAATAATTGTTATATCACGTAGCATTCCAGTCCAACAATGCACTGATATGTTTAAGTTTTTCTTCACGTGACAATATATTACTGGACCAGAACGCCATAATGGCAATGAACTCGTTTCATATAAATTGCTCTCCTACCTAGAAGAAGGAAAATTTAAAGGAGTTGAAACAACCATTCATGTTACACGTACTCAGCTACTAGTACAAGTCATACCTTGATCCCTGATAAGTTTCATATTCCTGCAGTTTCATTTATGAAATAAATCCCTTGCTCTTTAGGCTCTCAACAGCATCCTTGATAATTTGATCCATGGGAATGAATTCTAAACCCAAGTTCATTAGCTTCTTCGCACCGTTCTTTCCCTCGGCAGCAAGCTCGGTTGGGTGTCCTTTGGCAAACTACACAAAAGTAAACATATTAGCTCGAGCATTTTCAAAATCAGACACACACCACCTAAAAAAATTGTAAAATTCCGCCAAGGCAAGCAAGAATGCACCAAAAGGTTGAAAAACGTGGAAATCAACATTTGGAAGGGATTTTAAATAGACCAAAGAAAGATGACGTATGCACATCTATACCCGCATGAACACTCTTTTATAGGAAAAATCAGATTTCAATTCGCTAATTTGGTCTCAAATATCAAACACGTGATGGGAGGAAAAAAAGAAAGAAAAAATCATCATCCTCCAGCTGTAGAAGAGTTCAGTGTATCTAAGAAACCTCGGTTCAAAATCAAGACATACTATATTTTTAAGTTGCGCTTCTGCCAAGAGATGAGACATTCACTTATCAGGAAACCAAACAGCGAAAACATAAGATATGCACACCATTTCATTTGCAAATGCATTTTGCAGACCAAAATTTACCTGGGAACCTTGTACTCAGGGAAAAGTTCAGCAACCTTTAGCACAAAGGCACCATAATGTGATATAGCTCCAGCACATAAGTGCCTACCGGTTGATGATTTTGTTCTCATACACTAAAATGTGTGCGAGAGCTACATCTTTAAAATGAACGGATCCCACAAGGAAGTCCTCATAAGTTTCAGTGCAGCCTGCAGCAAAGATTGAACATCTCAAATCTTACTTTATACATGTTGTTTCTAGGGCCTCTTCCTTTTTCTCAGTCCTCTCCAAAAGAGAGGAACCCAAACAAACTTTATCGAGATTGCTTAGAACTTAAAGAAACGTGTGCTAGAAAAACAGATGTAGAAGAGTTCCTTTATGATCACACATATGCATCTAATTTCTAGTTCATCAACCAACCACAGCCTCATTGGTTACCTTAGTTTTAGGCTTTCAGCAACATAATATATGAAATGGAATTGGATAAAGTCAACAATCTACTTCTAGGTGCAGTCCCAGAGGATATTCTAATACAAATTTGCAGAGAAAAGTACCCTCAAGAAGGCGAACGAGCATCAACATGCTAGCATTGAACCTGGCCGAGATAACAGGGCCCATCACCGTGCCTGGATTCACCACAACCACATCCAGCCCCCTCTCCTTGGCAAATTCCCACGCTGCTTTCTCTGCCAGCGTTTTCGGTAATGGATTCCACACCTAGCCAAACACCAAACACAATCAGCATTACAGGTCCCCATTTGTGAAAACTTCAATTAGTTAAAAACGAAGACTTAATAATCAAAGATGAAAAATTCAATACAAACAGGGGAAACTCGCACCGAAAGTTACAAACTTTCAATAAGAAAATAGAATGCGGACATTAAACAGACAATAAACCGCGGTTTTTCAAAACACAATTAGGCATTGGAGTAACTCACTCCCTTCTGCTTGCAGTAGTCAATGTCTGTCCAGCAATCCTCGCCCTTGACCTTATCAGACGGCCAGCTTGGGCTGGGAGTGATGGCGGAGATGGATGACGTCAGCACCACACGGCTGACCCCAGCGCGCTTCGCCGCCGTCAGAACATTGAGCGTTCCTTTGATCGCCGGGTCCAGAAGCTCCTTCTGCAGATTAAACAAAAAAATGACCACGTTTTCAAAATGACGCATAATTAATCAAATATAATCAAAATTAGAAGGAATTTGATAATGTGTACTGGCGCGAACCTCGGCGTCGTGGACTTGATCGACGATGCAGGGAGAGGCGAGGTGGAAGACGCCGGAGCAGCCACTGACGGCGGCGAGTATCGAGTTGTAGTCGAGGAGGTCGATCTGGAAGAGACGGAGGCGCGACTCTGCTCCCTCTACTAACGCTTCTAGATGCTTCGTCTCGCCCTCGTCCTCTGCAACACAGAAAATGACGGCGCTTATTCAATTTAGAGTGAAAGCGAATGGAATTGGAATGAAATGAATGGCATTGTGGCAGTTGTGTAGATAAAGTGAAAAGCAGGGGGAAAGTTACCGAGATCCTTGACGGTGGCGTGGACGGTGTAATCACGGTGGAGGAGGAGACGGAGGAGCCAGGATCCAATGCAGCCGCTTCCACCGGTAACGCATACGACCTCACCCTGCTTCGACATCCTCCATGCAGTCTCCCTTTCCTTTTCAGCCGTCGAGTGCTCTTCAGTTACTTCAGCTGATTGTTGAATTGGGCCGAAAACAATTAACAGTCATGATACTCAACGTTTGGGATTTCAAAAATCTTGGGCCACCGTCCTTCTTTGCAACGTGCGGCAAGTTGCGAACACGAAACAATGCTAAGATTCTGCAGTGGTGTTTTCCATAGGAAGTCTGGCAGTGTTTCTAACCTAGAGCAATGATATATTTCTAAGGAAGAAAGACATGGCATGATTGTAATTCCAGAATTCACGTTCCACCCTTTCACGCCTTCCCAGTCCTTCCAAGACTCAAGTCCCCAAAATTGGAGCCGCTTCAATTTTGGGAATAATATTGGTGAGGATGATTTGAATGAAGAGGATGTTTGATCATCGTCTCCTACTCCCAAAAACTCGCCACCAACCTTTTTTACACGCAACATCCCCCCTACGGAGAGTTTTTCAAGGAAGGGCAATTTCCCAAGAGCAGGCAAAACTTGACAACCCTCATTCTTCGACAGATCAAGGAATCGCAACTTGTTTAAAGACCTCAGCCAATTCGGGAAGGTCGAGCCAAAATACACATCGTTGTAATTCCAATCAATCCTTAAAGATTCCAGATCATCGTGCGGTCGAAAGACAGTCATTATTCGTTCACTGCAGTCTCCAGCCTCGTAGACCACTTTTCCAAAATCAAGGTCGAGACGAAAAAGTTGCTTGTTGCCCCTCAATTGTGCTTCACTCCCATCTTTCACCTTCCCCAAAATTCTTATACTGAGACTGCCCTGGAGCTGGTTCAAGTTTCCCAAATCCCCAACTTGAAATGCTTCGTCGTTGTCGACAGAAAACAGAGGACAGACGTCTAGTGTCTGCAAACTTGTTAATCTCCCTATCCCTTTTGGCAAGTACTCCAATGAGCTGCACCTCCCAACGTAAAGATGTTTTAAGCTAATCAACTTTCCCATGTTATCAGGCAATTTTTTAAGTGCATAGCATCCCCGCAGGTCCAAGGTATACAGATTGTATAAACCACAAATGGTGTCTGATAATTTCTTCAAATTTCTACTCTCAGACAAATCAATATGTCTCAAATGTACCAATTCACCAATCTCTTCTGGGAGTTCTTCGATGGATGTATAAGACAAACACAACTTTATCGTCCTAAGACTTTTCAATTTTGAAATAAATCTACCGTACACCGTATCAACCCTTGAGTGAGTTGTTACAAGCGTGCGTAGATTTTTGCAATTGAAGTGATAGAAAGTAAAGCTTGACTATCAGCTATAGACGTTAAGGTCAAATGGTGAACCTTACTGCCCAATATATCTATTTTTTGGTTTGCTCCCTCAGACTCCGTAATCAAACATTCCTTCTTGGTGATAAATTGCACAAAGTCATGTACAATGTCATGCATTTTGCAACCTATTATTGCACCAGTGCGAATGTCTTTCTTAAAGTCTTGAAAAAATGACCGCGCAACTAAATTATCAAACACAGCATAACCAATTTTTCTTTTATCTTTATTCTCCCTGGAATTAAGATAATCTTGTGCCATCCAAAAATTAATCAACACATCCCTACTAAATTCATAATCTTTCGGGAAAATAGCACAATATAAAAGGCAACATCTATTTCTTGGCGCCAAATCGTAATAACTTAGAAACAATGGCTGGAAAACTTCTTGCTCCACTTCTTCCCAATCCCATATTCTACTATTCAGAACGTCCAACCATTCATTCCTTGTTTTCTTATCCTGCATCATACTACCTAGAGTCTTTGCAACAAGTGGCAAACCCTTGCACTTTTTTACAATTTCCCTACTGATATCTCCAAACACCTCAAACTCGTCTACTTCTCTACCAGAAAATGCCATATGATTGAAGATTGACAAACAATTTTGTTCGCTCAACTCTGCAAGATTGATCATGTGAGAGGTTGCTCTCATCATACTAGCAACATTTTGCTTCCTGGTGGTTACTAGTATTCTACTGCCCTCAGCCCCATTTTGCATCAATGGAACCTTTAATTGATCCCACTTTTTGCGATCGTCGGTCCACACATCATCCAACACAAGAAGAAACTTTACCCCCTTAATGGATTCAGACATAGATTCTAAGACATGATCCAACCCAGTTGAACTTGAGGAGGCATCACCACTAATCTCTTTGGCAATCCTTATCTCATCGAAAGGCTCCGACACACAAACCCATATTCTCTTTCGAAAATGAGCTTTAACTTTGGCATCATTATAGGCTAACTGAGCCAAAGTTGTCTTTCCCATGCCTCCCATCCCTACAATAGGGATGATGAGGAGCCCCTTCCCTTCTTCACTACTATCACTCACCAACTTCCTTATCAAACTATCTTTTTCCTTTTCTCGACCAAATATCTCAGACATATCGACAAAAGACGAAGTTTGCTGTTTTTGGATGACTTTTTCAGTGGGTTGAAAACTATACATTTTTCTTTGCTTATAAATCTCAGCTAACCTCACATTTAGATCCTTTATCTTGAGAGCAATTTCACGACGAACAATAACCTTCCCGACTTGGCCAAGACAAAAGCAACGAGCGAAAATAGAGAAACTTACCTTCCTCTGAGGAGCAAGATGATCTGCACCTTCTCTATCTTGTTTCTCAACTTCTTGTCTCAGGATGTCAGTGTGCCACTCATCCAGCACGTCCACCATCATGTACGATATTTCCTTCAAGTTGTCCAGCCAGTTTTGCACGTTAGCCTCCTTCATTTGCCTTCGCTCTGCATCCTCAAGCACAGATTCAATAGCTTGGAGATTCCAGGCGAATTCTTCAACTTCTTTCTTAACGTTCAGAACGAGTTTCACCTCGCCCGCTACGTATTGATAAGTTGTTGAAGCCAACTTTTCTAGTAGCGGGGAAACAATTGCATCGGCCATTTTGAGGGTTAGAAACTTAGAAATTGGTTGAGAGTGGAGAAGAAGATGATAAAAATCGGTTGAGAGTGGAGAAAAAGAGGAAGTTGGCCGCGTAGGGAAGTGTATGAGAAGAGGAAATTAATGCAGGATGGCTGTGCTATTGCTTGTCTTCTTTGCTAGTTTATATAGACGGTGGACACCTTTGTTTTCCCGTTTGCTTTCTACAATGCAAGATTCTTTGCTCATATTACCAAAAAGATTTGCCTTGATGCTGCCGTTTACTCTCCTTGGACGAAAGGAATAACAAGTTTGAGGGGTGAATCTATAGTGGCCGTGTCGGCAAGCAAACTAATTTTTTTTAGAACGTAAACCGTCTTCTCAGAATCTCATATAAACAAACACGATGGCTTACGAATCAATCCTCGACAACAGAAGCAAGCATATATGTCACGGTGAAGCGGTATTTGGCATTCATGCCACTGTTCTCTTAGGCAATTATTTTTTTTTTTGGAAAAAATTATATTCAGTCTCTAGATACTAATGTTCTTTAATTGAAATCTTATTGATTTTCTGGTTTTGATTGAAGTCTCTAATATTAATTAATATTAACGTAGAGATTGGACAGCCCCGTTTTACCTGTTTGCTTTTTTATTTCCCAAGATAGGAATACGGTGACTTATTACCAAAAAGATTTTGCCTTGATGCTGCAGTTTACTGTCTGTGGAGGGCAAGGAATAACGTAAACTTTGGGAGCGAACTGAATGTCCATCCAGTCTTTAGAATGTAAACCTTTTCTCAAAATCTGAATGCTAAAACTACGGGGTAGATTCTTATGGAGTTATAAACCCCGCAGCCGTGCGTATTCAAACTATAAAAATCTCAACTGTGTTCAAGAGAAAGCATAATACAAAATCATAGGATTTGTATGTTCGCTAGAACAACCCTTCATAAATTTGGGATAAATAATCATAACAAGGGCTGCAGTTGAACCTAAGCAAACACATTTGTATCACCGCAGGGCTCTTCTACTGAATTGTCATACTTTTTGTGCCTGCAAAACTGGGGCAGCACGGGCAACGCGCTAAACTCAATCATGTCTATCCAAAAACTTCTCTATCAGCACCGAAAATGCAGCAAAGCCGGCACAACCAATGCAGGCTGCTTGAGGACCAGCTACAACAGGACGACATAAGGAGGTGTAAGAGTCTAATCTTTACATGCACGAAAACAAATTATGCAGATAGCAGAACTATGATGAGAATAACACCAACAAGGCCGATACTTGTCCGGTTTACTAATTCTTTCACCCATGTTATATCACATATCTTTTAGTGAGGCTTACTCAATGACTACCCTCTATATCCGAGTCAAGGCTTACTCGATGACTACCCTCTATACCCGAGTCAAGGCTAGGGCAAGGGAGTGTTCCGTCAATGGTAATTACCAACATACTACACAAGTAGAGTCAAGGAGTCTAGATTCCTGTTTTGACATCGTGTGAGAAATAAAACCAGAATCTTGGCTGAATTCAGTTAAAGTGTTAAAGCTCTGATTTTAACTACGGTACCAGATTAATTATAAAGGAATATGCAACCTCTTAATATTTGAAGTTATCGTGCTGCATTAATAAATACAACAAAGAATCAACCTATAATGGTTAACATTGCCTAACTACAAGAATTCCTTATAAATAAACATGATGGCTAATTAATGAACTCCTTGATTCAAAATCAATCCTTGGACAACAGAAAAAAGCCAAGTAGTTTCTGCAAAGCACTAACCCCTTACGCGTCTTCAGCCAGATACTTGATGCATCCAATGGTACTAGTTTCATAAACTTACGTTTGAAGGTGTTAAATTTTTAATAACTCCATTATTCAGTTAAGTTAAAAGAGCATATTACATGTCTACCCCACCCCTACACTCAATAAAATCAGTTCAAAACAGAAGCTCAAGCGAGATTTTTTTTCGAAACACTATTTACAAAAATACGGACTTTTCAATTCCACTTTCCGAAGGAGTGGAAAGAGAACACTATGGTCTAAATAGAATCCTATGGTGATGTGCCTGAATGCGAAGTTGACAATACGCATTATATAGTTGGTTTAAAGCCTTGTATATCAATGAAAAAAAAATGATAACTGCTGGAGAAAGTTGGTTACCTTTGGCTGACAGTGCACCTCCAGTTGCACATCCAGCAACAACTATTTGTTGTGTCATGTTTAGCTCGTGCCTGAAAACAATAATCCAGAATTAGTCCCTATAGCAAAGAAATTAAACCTCATCGATCACATAAAATTTACGATCATGAATTTTGACATATCCAGAATACCTGTTCAACAACACACTCGGCAGCTGAGAAAAGCAATCCCATAACTGCAAATGCTTTTGCAGAACTCCAACTCCTCCGGCCCATTGACTTTGCTTGGTAAATGAATTGTTGTTTACCAGTCATTTCGTCTTGCATTATGGGGGTGTCTAACGCTCCGAGAAGCAAACCCACCATCAACCCAAGCCCACCACCTATGAAATTCCCAAAGCTTAAAGAATGAACAATCAACATCCGTTTAGTGTTAAGTTCTATACAAAAGTACAAGGAAAAACTCTAATAAGACTTAAAAGCTCTTCTGGGAAGCACTCGGGAAGCAATTCAAGTGCTTTTCCGGGCCAAAATCAATGTAAACAACAATGTAACCTTCTGGTAGAGTTCGCTATATAGAGCAAACCCCAATACTTACTTTAAAGTAACGAAATTTAGACTATATCTATCACAACTAATACACCAATCTTCTGCACATTCTGAAACCCACAAAAATACAATTCTGAGACCACACACAAATAAAAAGACAGTAACTTTCCAAAGTTTTCTCAGCAACCAAACAGAAATAAAGGGAAAAAAAAAACCAACACTTAAAAAAAAGACTTAACTTTTTCCCACATTTGCTCGGCAACCAAACAGAGAGAGGAAAAATAATAATAATAACCCATGTGAGAGAATCCAAAATTAAGCAAAATGAAAGAACTTCAGCCATACCCATAACTCCACTAACGACGCTTCGGACGGCGCAGTTGTTCCAAATGTCTTGACCGCGCATCTCCTCCACCGTCGGCAGCCGAATGGGCTCAATCGGAGGCTCCTAGACCTCTCTCGAGGCCGTAGATTCGTTCTCCGGATTCGAGGCCATTGAGGTGAGGCTTGTATCGGCACCCGAACCAATGGCAGGCCATAAAATACTCGGTTGACTAGAGTCTCGGGGAGAGTGAAATTTTTTAATCGGTTAAAAAGAGTGCGGTTTTGGGTTCGCCGACGGTCATGATCTTTTATTTCTTTGGTTGTGGAGTAATCCGACGGTGGCTCTTGCTTCCATGTCCCAGAAAGGAAAGAAAACAAATGAGTTGCTAAACTCAATGGGTCCCACATCCACAACCAATCTGATCCGCTCAAAGTCCCCGCCTATTCTGAACTCGGCCACGGTGAATCTCGCTCTCCACATCTCCCAACCCTAAAACCCCACTCTTATTCACTCGCCCATATAAATATTTCTTAGCCTCTCAACGCCTTTTCGTTCCTGTCTCCTCCTCCTCCTCCTCCTCCTCCTTAGGGTTTCTGCATCTCACTCTGCAGACATGGTACCTCTCTCTCTCTCTCTCTAGAGATCTCTGCTGTGTGTGTTAACTGTTGGTTTATGTTGCGTTTTGCAGGCCAGAGGACTGAAGAAGCATTTGAAGAGGCTCAATGCCCCAAAGCATTGGATGCTCGACAAGCTTGGTGGTGCTTTTGTAAGTACTAACACCTCTTCCCCTAATTAAAAAATTGAAGAAATTTTCATTAAAGCTTCAATCTTGTCCTCCATTGTGATATGGGTTTAATTTAAATTTTATCACTAAATGTGTTTTTTAAGGCTCCCGAATGAAAAATGAAGAATTTTCCCGGTAAATATACAATTTTTGCTTCAGTTTGATTTGGGGTTAATGTAAAATTTGGTTTCAAATGTGTTTGCTTGGGACTCCAAGTGAAAAAATGATGAATTTTTACATTAAATCTTCAATTTTGGTCTGATTTTAATTTGGGTTTAATGGAAGTTTTGTTTCGAATGTGTTTGTTTAGGCCCCCAAGCCCTCATCTGGGCCCCACAAATCCAGGGAGTGCCTTCCCCTGGTTCTTATCCTGAGGAACAGGTTGAAGTATGCACTCACATACCGTGAGGTTGTTTCGATTCTCATGCAGCGCCATATTTTGGTTGATGGAAAGGTCAGGACCGACAAGACTTACCCTTCTGGCTTCATGGGTATGTTCTCAACAATTTCACCATTTTTAGTTCCATTTTTTTATTTTGCAGAATGATTTTCTGCTATGTATCTGTGATGCTTAGAAGTGTGCTTAAAGTTGTTTTATTTGTCTTCAGATGTTGTTTCAATCCCGAAAACAAACGAGAATTTTCGTCTGCTTTTTGACACAAAGGGTCGGTTTAGGCTTCACTCCATTAGAGATGAGGAGGCAAAGGTTGGTGCTAGTTTTGTAGAAATGTGTACATTTCGTTTAACTAATGTGTATTATAGCCATTGTGTACTGGGATTATTGTTAGCTTAGTTGTTAATATGTGTTCTTGACGAAATGAATGTTCAAGTTTAAATCTTACATGCAACAGAAAAGATCTAAAGTTTAACGGGAAAGGAAGTTTGTTTGACCGTTTATGTTGCTAGGTTAGTTTAACTGGATTATCTGTTCAGATTTAACTTTTGTTTCGAATGGTAGAACATATTGCCGCAATTGGGTTGATCAGGTGGATCAGTGTTTCAGTTAGCTAATTCTACAAATTGAAAGATTAGGACCTGCTACACTATTTTTATTTTGTACATTTCGGTTTAATCTTTTTTCTTGGAATCAAGTTTCTTTAAGTCTCTGTTTGTCCTTTTTCAATATTGACATGTCAGTGGTTAGGAGTACTCTCTGAAATATATCTAGTTGAGTTTTGTTGGCTAGATAGTTTCCTATTTGACTTGGTATTATAAATTCCATGAGCAGTTCAAGCTCTGCAAGGTTCGGTCGGTGCAGTTTGGGCAGAAGGGCATCCCCTATCTTAACACTTTTGATGGCCGAACCATTCGCTACCCTGACCCGCTGATCAAGGCCAATGACACTATTAAGCTGGACGTAGAGACCAGCAAGATCACTGACTTCATTAAGTTTGATGTTGGTAATGTTGTCATGGTGACTGGCGGTAGGAATAGGGGACGTGTTGGAGTCATTAAGAACAGGGAGAAGCATAAGGGAAGCTTTGAGACCATCCACGTGCAGGATGCCCTCGGCCATGAGTTTGCAACCCGTCTTGGCAATGTGTTCACCATCGGCAAGGGTACCAAGCCTTGGGTTTCTCTTCCCAAGGGCAAGGGCATCAAGCTAAGCATCATTGAAGAGGCAAAGAAGCGACAAGCGTCCCAAACAGCTGCTACGGCTTAAACAATATAGCGTCGACTATGGATTGTTGTTCCTGTAGTTTTAGAATGGTACTTAGTTGAATCAGTTAAGCAGTTTTACTTAAATCAGCTTATGTTTAGGGGGTTCTTTTTTCTTTCGTTTTGGGGCCGTGCATTATGGATTATTTAAGTTGCTATACTGGCTTGAATCTTGTTATGTTTTGTGCTGGAATGAGATGTGTATTGAACCATTTTTAATCAACTTCCTGCCTATGCTATGCTGATACTTGCGTAATATGTTCTTTAAACGTTTGGGTCCTAAAATTTTTCCAGTTTTAGACCTGTTCTAACCATTCGAGTAAAACTCAGATTTTAGGTTCTAAATTTACCCTAACTTGCACAACCATTGGGTCAAATATGAGTTTTAATTCAAAACTTTTTTTGGGGGCAAATTTAGTCAAAAGAACTTCTTTCTGAGTTTGTGAGCTGGACTACCACGTGTATATTTTCTGAACTTCGTATCTAATTAGTTAAAGATTTTGGACATTTTTGAATTGTAATTAATATTTTACCTTGTGTAATTGTGTTAATAGAGGGCGAGCCTTTTTGTAACATAAAGTTGCTCATTTGTGACGGGTTCGAGTTGTGAAAATTGTGTATTTGCAAAGCAAGAGTAAAATTGTGAGAAGGGAGAGATTTGTTCAAGGTGGGAAGGTACATCTACGGGTTTTTAGAGAGGAGGACGATGACCTTCGGTTTATTATGCATAAAGTATGATGGATTTTAGATTTAGTCATCCAAGTAGTTTAGGCTTCAAAAACAACATTTCAAATTATGTAATAAAAATCGGGCATTTTCATTAGCATCCGGATTATGTCGTTTTTAGTTTTCTAAGGCCTGAGTTTTTCTAGAGTTGTGTTAGTATCTTTGTAAGCCCTTTGGCTATCTATGTAATCTCATAATTTCAATATATAAACGAATAATGCTTTGGGATTTCTCTCAAATTAGTGGCTTCCAAACTTTTGGTTCTTCAGGGATTTGTGTTTGTAATCCTTTAACTTTGTGTTGCTTCGCACATCTGTGTAATTCTTGTTTTCTTTGCACTGATCTCTCTATTAATTAACCAACCAAACAAAAGCAGAATTGACATAATCTTTGGGCTTATTCTTTGCAATGCCTTTGGAACTCGAACTTAATCCCACTTATCCCTCTGAAACAAAAACATCACATTTACACCTTGGAAAACGATTTTTGCTCCACTTTAACGGTGTTCAGTCTATTCCGTCAAAATAAGATTAAATGTGCTGGCGTGTAAGGTTATTACAATAATGTGCTGACGTCAAAATAGGGTTAGATCGAATTTTGCTCCTCTTTCGATTCCTCCTGGAAATTCCACGAAATAAAACCGGTTGATGCCATCGTCCTCACAACTCATCCTCCCTCCCCGCCAATTCACTTATCATCTCAAATTTGATTTCACTGTTGCTTCCACCAAAAACCCCAGGAATTAAAACTACAAATTAAGAGCTAGCATAGTACGTTGATTTTCTGCAATGAGATTTGCATGGTGTCCACCATCTTCTTGGGCGAGATCCAAGCTTTGCAGTTTTCACCTCCTAAGACACTTAAGAACTCTGAGACTTGATTGGCCAAAAGCCTCCGCCAAATCATCAAGTGCGATCGCGTTTGAGTTTTTTGGCTAAGTTTAAGATGAGTATATACTTTGATCAATCTTGGTTTTGTTGAGTTTTATTAATTTGAAGGATAAAATCACTTAAAAATTGTTTCAAGGGATTGAAGCCTTATCAAATGCCTTCTGGATCTATATATAGTCCTGTACACAGTTCGTGTGTTTCAGTGTCACACTTAATGTACAATCATTTGCTCAGACGATAACATATCGGATGCTAACTCGACTACCACAACGTGATATATATAATCCCCAGTCGTACGTAAGAATCTCACCTAAACTTGCACCGAAACTATGTCAATGGGCGATGTACTCCAGGAATCGGTATGGCACGGTAACTGCCACCAAAACTGTGACCAAAACTATCACCAAACTCACACTTGTTGGCAGCTGTACCAGAGTGCCCGTAGTGTCCATAATTTTCATACTGCCAAGATGACGGGTTTGGCCGCGGATAGACGGGGGTGAAGTTGGCACTGGAAAAGGTGTAGAGACACTCAAGATAAGTAAACGATTGTAAAGGTAATTGCCCCCGTTTTTACTTGATGCACAAGCAAACAATTGCAATCCCTTTTTGCCCTAGTTCAAATCGAAGTCTTGATTTCATTCCCATTACTATCTTCCTTGGTGTGTTTGATGTAATTAGGAAAGTTTGAGTACTTATATTATATACGTGTGCTGTAATTAGGAAGGTTTGATATTTTCAAAAATAAATAATACGAGTTTATCTTTTGACTTAGGATTGCAAACTTACTGTGAGAAGAAAGTTAGGTTGGAAGGAATAGGAAATATTTTTTTAATTAATATTTAGCATATGTAGGATTGTGTAAATCTTAGATAATTTAGATTTAAGATTACTCTTTATTCTAGTGATTCTTTCTTCTCAGACATTGCATTAATTGGGAAACAAGTTTCTCTCTCCTCATAGTTTACTATAAATGAAGGCAATGGTAGAGGAGAAATACATCCTACACTCGATTTCACAAAAGACGTCACTTTTTTCTCATAACTTAGAAGATGGCTCAAGTTCCTCAAGCTATGCTCAACGCACTAAATGGGTGTGGGATGCGTCCTCAACAGTGGAGGTACATCGGTGAGTTGACATTTTCTGCAGACAATATAAGCGAAGATTTTCTGCCTCTAGCGCTGCTCCCGACAACTGAATACTTATGTGGTGTAGACATTACCGAGAAACTTGAAGTACTTTTCATGGGGCCTTCGCTTGTGCAAGAAAGATTAACCCTACGCCAGCTGGAAACTCATGGATTTAGTTTAACATATGGTTGGAAACAAATTGTGAAAAAGGAGAGATTTGTTGAAGGTGAGAAGGTGCATCTATGGGCCTTTAGAGAGGAGGACGAAGACCTTTGGTTTATTATGCATAACGATGATGGATTTTAGTCATCCAAGGCAATTTAGGCTTCAAAAACAACATTTCAAATTATGTAATAAAAAGCGGACTTTTTCATTACCGTCCAGATTATGTCGTTTTTAGTTTTCCTAGGCCTCCGAGTTTTTCTAGAGTTGTGTTCGTATCTTTATAAGCCCTTCCGCTATCTATGTAATCTCATAATTTCAATATATAAACGAATAACGTTTTGGGATTTCTCTCAAACTAGTGGCTTCCAAACTTTTGGTTCTTCAGGGATTTGTGTTTGTAATCCTTTAACTTTGTGTTGCTTCGCACATCTGTGCAATTCTTGTTTTCTTTGCACTGATCTCTCTATTAATTAACCAACCAAACAAAAGCAGAATTGACATAATCTTTGGGCTTATTCTTTGCAATGCCTCTGGAACTCGAACTTAATCCCACTTATCCCTCTGAAACAAAAACATCACATTTTACACCTTGGAAAACGATTTTTGCTCCACTTTAACGGTGTTCTGTCTATTCCGTCAAAATAAGATTAAATGTGCTGGCGTGTAAGGTTATTACAATAATGTGCTGACGTCAAAATAGGGTTAGATCGAATTTTGCTCCTCTTTCGATTCCTCCTGGAAATTCCAGGAAATAAAACCGGTTGATGCCATCGTCCTCACAACTCATCCTCCCTCCCCGCCAATTCACATATCATCTCAAATTTGATTTCACCGTTGCTTCCACCAAAAACCCCAGGAATTAAAACTACAAATTAAGAGCTAGCATAGTACGTTGATTTTCTGCAATGAGATTTGCATGGTGTCCACCATCTTCTTGGGCGAGATCCAAGCTTTGCAGTTTTCACCTCCTAAGACACTTAAGAACTCTGAGACTTGATTGGCCAAAAGCCTCCGCCAAATCATCAAGCGCGATCGCGTTTGAGTTTTTTGGCTAAGTTTAAGATGAGTATATACTTTGATCAATCTTGGTTTTGTTGAGTTTTATTAATTTGAAGGATAAAATCACTTAAAAATTGTTTCAAGGGATTGAAGCCTTATCAAATGCCTTCTGGATCTAAATATAATCGTGTACACAGTTCGTGTGTTTCAGTGTCACACTTAAGGTACAATCATTGCTCAGACGATAACATATCGGATGCTAACTCGACTACTACAACGTGATATATATAATCCCCAGTTGTACGTAAGAATCTCACCAAAACTTGCACCGAAACTATGTCAATGGGCAACGTACTCCAGGATTCGGTATGGCACGGTAACTGCCACCAAAACTGTGACCAAAACTATCATCAAACTCACAGTTGTTGGCAGCTGCACCAGAGTGCCCGTAGTGTCCATAATTTTCATACTGCCAAGATAACGGGTTTGGCCGCGGATAGACTGGGGTGAAGTTTGGCACTGGAAAAGGTGTAGCAGCTGATTCACATGTCCGAGGATACTTGCTTTTGTGCTGTTGTTGCTGTTGATACCGGCTGGGGTCAAAAGTGTCGGTACTACGCTTCACACCTGTACCATCCCTATCGATGATGGATTGATTAGTATGTTCCAATTCTTTCTCCTTCATTGCAAGCTCTTTCGCCCGGTGATCAAGTTGCCTCTCTATCGATGTCAGGATTTGGGTCTGTTCTTCAGCGCCTTTTTTTATTGAATCAATTGATTTCTGCTTCATTACAAGTTCTTTGGCCTGCTCTTCAAGTTGCCTCTCTTTCGTGTTCAGGTTTTGGGTATGTTCTTCAGCTGATTTTTTTATCGAATCAATTTCTTTCTGCTTCAACGCAATCTCTTTGATCTGATCTTCAAGTTGCCTCTCTTTCTTCTTCAGGTTTTGGGTATGTTCTTCAGCGTATTTTTTTATCGAATCAATTTCTTTCTGCTTCAACGCAAGCTCTTTGGCCTGATCTTCAAGTTGCCTCGCCCTCGTGTTCAGGTTTTGGGTATGTTCTTCAGCGGAATTTTTTATCGAATCAATTTGTTTGTGCTTCAATGCAAGCTCTTTTATCTGCTCTTCAAGTTGCCTCTCTTTTGATTTCAGGTTTTGAGTTTGTTCTTCAGCGGACTTTTTTATTGAATCAATTTCTTTGTGCTTCAACTCAATTTCTTTGGCCTGATCTTCAAGTTGCCTGTCTTTTGATTTGAGGTTTTCGGTATGTTCTTCAGCGCATTTCTTCATCGAATCAATTTCTTTATGCTTTAACTCAATCTCTTTGGCCTGATCTTCTATTTGCCTCTCTTTCGACTTCAAGGTTTCAGCATGTTCTTCATCGATTTTCTTGATAAAGTCCTGCTTCAATGCAAGCTCTCTGGCCTGCTGCTGAAGTTGGCTCTCTTTCCTCTGCAGTAAACTTTCTTTCCTTTGCAGTTGGCTCTCTTTCCCTTGAAGTTCACTGGAGACTGCATCCAAATACTTTTCGCCTTCTTGTTTCGATTCTTCGATTTGCTTCTCTTTCAATTCAAGCTCCCTCACTTTCAGTTCAAGCTTACATGACCACTCCTCCAGTGCCTTCTCACGTAAGCAAACCTCTCTCCTCTTCAAATCTACTTCCCTAATCAACGCTTCTCTCGATTCAGATTGCTTAATCAAACTAAGCTTCTCCTCTTTGACTTCCAACTCTTTGCCACATTCGTCGATCAACCTTAGCACCAAATTCAATTCCTCTTCTCTCAAATCAAACTCCTCCGTACTCGCTTCAATCGACCCCAGAATCTCATTCAATTCCCTCTCCTTCTCCCTCACAGAATTCTCAACTTCCTCCAATCTCTCCTCCTTAACACCAACCTCGCCGTTGTTTTCTTTGATCAATGATTCAAGCGAGCGCAAGCGGTTCCTACTCTCTGCAATCAATTCCTCAAGCACGCTTAATTCCTTGGACTTTGACTCCATCTGTGAATTGAGCTTCGACTCTTCGATTTCCAACTGCTCGTTGCGGATTCCGACTTCCTCCTCGCGGTTCTTGAGCTCCCGGAATCTGGCCTCGATGGACTGTCGGGTGGACGCTAAGTGGTCCTCGAGTTCCTTCCACTGTACCGAAAACATGGCGAGGGAGGTTGCTTGGGCGCGAAGGCAACCGTACACCTTGCTCAAACGACTCTGCTTCAACTCTGATTCTTTCAAAGCGCACTCTATCTTCTTCTCCATCGTCTCTGCTGCATAAACACTAAGCGAAAACGACATCGTGGCGGCGAGGTATCGTCTGCTAAAAACCCTAGAAACAAGAGGACGAGAAGAGAGAGTAATGTAGTTGTGCTAAATGGTTAAAGCAAGTTCACGTATTTGATTAAATAGACACTGTTTTCCTTAAGGAAAGAGGATTAAGAGAAAACAAAGGAAAGTGGCACTCCCACAGCATCTAGGAAAAATAAAGGAAATAGGATTAAAAAGATAATGAGATAATAAAAATTAATCAATAAACCAGATTAAATTATGAATAATAGCTCTCTTGTGTAAATTACGTGCCCTAAAGGAAAAAAAGAAGTAATTCATGTTTTCAAGGATTAAAATACTTATTTGGCTTTTTAGCCGAAATGTTTTTTGAGTTTCATTTTGATCATTGAGATTTAAAATCAATAAAAGTGGTTACTGAAATTGTCTACCGTCAATTATTTTGGTCATTCTATCATTAAAAGTGGAGGGGATGATTTGACAAAAATACACTTAACTAATGGAGATTTTTATGGAAAGGACAAAATGATTGACGGTGGACAATCTTAGAATCTACTTCTATCGAATTTAAATATCCAAGATCAAAGTAAAGAGTTATATTAATCTTAGGTACCATTTTGGTTAAAAACCTATTATTTTAAAATAACATGTCCTACGGAACAGGGGAAGGTAGTTTGGAAAGATAGCTAGAAAGAGAAATTGAGATGTAAGGCTTAAGCCAACGTTTTATAAATTACCTAAAAAACTTCGTAAGTAAAAGTGATGTATTGATCTGGTTGTTAGGATTTTTTTTTTGTTTAATCCATTATGTCTCAGATACTTTGTAAGCAAACACAACTCAATCAAACCATGCGCCAAACCCAACCAAGAAAGCATCTCATCTCCCTCGGTAGAGATCTAACGGTGGAGATGAGATGCTTTCTTTAAGTTCATTCGGTCCATCCCTTCAGTTGCATAATATATCCTCGATTGCACATAAGAAATAACAATCTCTCCAAAAATCAAGGTTTTTATTTTTTATACATAAAAGTTAAAAGTCATATTTCAAAACTAGTCAAACTAGGTCTAGAGCATTTATAACAAAGTCGGACGAACATATCTCCGACGGCGTGTAGGAGGAGGGCCGGGAAAGTATGGATGCGGCCGGTAATGTATTCCCGGATCCGGACCAAAAGTATGGATGGCGTGTAGGAGGTGTCCACCATTTTTGTAATGCCGAGATGGATAGCCTACTGGGGTGTAATTTCGCTCTCGATAATGTGCAATAGCGGATTCAGATGGCGGAGGATAGCCTGGGTTGAAAGCTAGCGGTGGAACAGCTGATTCGTATTTCCGACGAAACTTCTTTTTGCGCTGTTGTTGCGGTTGGATCCCGGAGTCAAAAGTGGCGGTACTGCGTTTCTGACCTCTGCCACCCGAATCGATGCTGGATTCGTTACTTGCGGGAGAATGATCTGCTTTGATCGAATCTTCTTTCTGCTGCACTGCAAGCTCTTTCCTCCGTTGATCGAGTTCCCTCTCTTTCGAATTCAAGGTTTCGGTGTGGTCTTCAGCTGCCTTTTTGATCGAATCCAATTCTATCTGCTTCAATGCAAGCTCTTTTGTCTTGTCTTCGAGTGGCCTCTCTTTAGATTGAAATGTTACAGCTTGTTCTTCAGCGGATTTTTTCATTGAATCGATTTCCTTCCGCTTCAATTCAAGCTCTAGGGCCCTGTCATCGAGTTGCCTCTCTTTTGATTTCAGGTTTTCGGTGTGTTCCTCAGCGGATTTTTGAATCGAATCTAATTCCTTGTGCTTCAATGCCAGCTCCTTTGCCTGCTCTTCGAGTTGCATCTCTTTCGATTTCAGGGTTTCAGCTTGTTCTTCAGCCATTTTTTTCATTGAATCAATTTCCTTCTGCTTCCACTCAAGCTCTCTGGCCATGTCTTCAAGTTGGCCCTCTTTCGTTTTCAGGGTTTCGGCATGTTCTTCAGCGGTTTCTTTGATCGAATCTAATTCCTTGTGCTTCAATGCCAGCTCCTTTGCCTGCTTTTTGAGTTGCATCTCTTTGGATTTCAGGGTTTCAGCTTGTTCTTCAGCCATTTTTTTTATCGAATCCAATTCCTTCTGCTTCAACAACTCAAGCTCTTTGGCCCTGTCTTCAAGTTGTCCCTCTTTCGATTTCAGGTTTTGGGTACGTTCCTCAGCGGATTTTTTTAACGAATCAATTTCTTTCTGCTTCAACTCAATCTCTTTGGCCTGATCTTCAATTTGCCTCTCTTTCGACTTCAGAGTTTTGGTGTGTTCTTCAGCGATTTCCTTCATTTCTTTATGTTTCAATGCAAGCTCTCTGGCCTGCTGATGAAGTTGGCTCTCCTTCCTCTGCAGTAAGCTCTCCTTCCTTTGCAGTTGGATCTCTCTCCCTTGAAGTCCCCTGGAGACTTTATCTAAATACTTTTCGCCTTCTTCTTTCGATTTTTCAAGCTCTTTCTCTCTCAATTGCAGCTCACAACTCCACTCCTCCACTGCATTCTCAAGCAAACCCAAATCACTCTCTTTCAAATCCATTTCCCTTATCCTTCCTACCCTCAATTCGATTTCCTCCGCTTTCGCTCTCAACTCTCTCTCACATTCCTCAATTGACCTTCGCGCCGATTCCAGCTCCTCCCCGCTCAAATCAAACTCCGCCCTTCGTGCCTCGATCGACCTCAGAATCTCTCCCAACTCCCTCTCTTTCAACTCAATGTCCGCCGCTTTCGCTCTCAACTCCCTCTCACATTCCTCAATCAACCTTTGCGCCGATTCCAGCTCCTCCCCGCTCAAATCAAACTCCGCCTTTCGCGCCTCGATCGACCTCAGAATGTCTCCCAACTCCCTCTCTTTCAACTCAATGTCCGCCTTGCACTTGTCCAACAGTTCTTCAAACCGCTCCGCCGCCTCCCGCTCCTTCGCCTCCACCCAATTCAATTTTCTCGTCCTCTCACCAATGCGCCCCTCGATGAATTCACACTCCCTCTCCTTCTCCCTTACGAAATCCTCCACTTCCGTCAACCGCCTCTCCTGAACAGCAACCTCTTCGCTGTGCTCTTGAATCACCGATTGGAGCGAGATCAGCTCGTCCTTTCTCGCTTCGATCAACTTCTGAAGCACTTGCAACTCGTTGGATTTCGCCTCCATCTCCGAGCGGAAACTCGACTCTCTGGCTTCCAAATCCTCGTCCCGGACTCGGACTTCCTCCTCGCGGTGCTCGAGTTCCCGGAATCGGGCCTCGACGGAGCGGCGCGTGGACTCCAAGTGGTCCTCGAGGTCCTTCCACTGTCCGGAAAAGAACATGAGGGACTTCGCTTGCTCGTGGACGCAGTCGTACGCCTGGCGCAGAGTCCTCTGCTTCAACTCCGATTTTTTCACTGCGGATTCTAGCTTCTCCATTGTCTCTTCCGCCGCCGCAGCTGCTTCTGCATAACCTCCTTGCTGAAAAGGGCGTCGTTGCGGTGAGGAATCGCCCGCAAATGTGAGCGAGATTATTGAGCGCAGCGAACTGTACTCTGGCTTCCGTAAGTAGATAAAGTCAGAGTGTCGTGCAGTTCCGTAGATTATTTTAAAGAAAACTAATGAAAAGGACTTGAAAACTTTGAGTTTTAATGATAAGGATAAAATAAAGGGTAAAGTGAATAATACTAGGATTGACTTTTTAGTGTAAAAATGTGGTTTTTCGGTAAAGTGAACAGTACCGGGTGCTTTTCGTTAAAGTTTCCTTATTTTAATTTGTAATTAATTTGAGCCATAAACGTTATCACAATAATTTACACTCGAGGGGAGCGGCAGCAGATTTTCTGCCCTTCCTCTTCCCTCCCTTCTGTTTTGTATGGTCACGATTAAGTCACGTTAATATTTTATATATTTTTTATAAAGATAATAAGACAAAAATAAGTAGTAATATAAAATATTAACGTAGCTTAACCGTGATCACACAAACAAAAAGCACGGAAAGTGTAAGAGCAGAGAATCTGCCTTAGAGGGGAGACGGTGGAAAGCGGGTAATGATTTAAGTTGATGGGTCACAAATTGGTCTTCAACTCACACGTTATTAAAGAAGAGAATTTCTAGTGTATTCGGAACACACGGCACAATACGTTATTATATAATTATTGGAAAGTTTATTTTTAATGTATCCATTCAATTGTATGATGATATGTGTTGTTTTATCCTCTGTTCTGCGTATCCTGAAAATTTTCTTCTATTTAACACCATATTTCTTCATTTACCATTCAATGCCAACAACAACAAAAGTTTTATTTCGTTAAGTAGAATTGACTGTATAATTTGTAGAATACAACCACACTTAGTTTTGCGCCAAGTCTTTCATTAACTCCAATGATTTCATATGTTTTCTTAAAAGGCTTTTTTCAAGTCTTTCTAAATTTTCCTCTAGTCCTTTTCCTCTGGCCCTATATCTCATTGTCGCATCTTTTGACCAAAGCATAGGTAAATCTTTAATTCATATGTCTAAATCATCTTAATTAATTTTCTCTTATTTTATATTTAGTTACGACCATTCTACTTGTCTTCGGATATTCTCATTCACTATTCAATAACCTAGGACTAAAATTCTCCATTCACCATTCAATTCTTAAGAGAAGAATTCTTCGTTGACCATTCAATGCCAAGGAGTCAAAGGCAATTGCATCAACGGTAGGAAATATGGTTCACAAGCAAGTGTATGCAACACACTTCCTCATACGGGTCCCATTATGTTAGCTTCTCATCGATTATCGACAGCAGCTGGCATGCAAAAGTGATGCAGTTCTTGGTGACAATGGAAACAAATGCATTAGTGGAAAGTAAAAAGAGTGAGAAAAAGATCCGGGCGAGGATCTTTTTTCTAGAGTTCATAGGGATTCTGTGACTGTTCATCATATATCGTACGACCTGTTTTCATTAGGTACTATTTATATTTAATTTTAAATTTTAAAATTTAAAATGATTTATGCCCCATATTTCTTATTCATGTTCTTTTTTAATTAAAAAGTTAAATTGGTAATTTCATAGAATTTTAGTTGATAATAAGTGTTTTATTAATTAGTAGAGATTAATTTCAACCACAAACGTTATCACAATAATTTACACTCGAAGGGAGTCGGTGGAAAGCGAGTAATGATTTAGGCCAACAGGTCACAAGTGATCTTCAATTCACACATCATTAAAGAAGAGAATATTCAGTGTATTCGGAACACGGGGCATAATACGTTATTATACAATTGTTAGAAAGTGTATTTTTAATGTATCCCTTCAATTGCATAATGATATGTGTTGTTTTGTCCCGTGTTCAGCGTATCCTGAAAATTTTCTTCTATCTAACACCGTATTTCTTCATTTACCATTCAATGCCAACAACAACAACAAAAGTCTTACTTCGTTAAGTAGAGTCGACTGTATGATTCCTATAATAACATCACGCTTGATTTTGCGCCAAGTCTTTCATTCAAGGATTTCATATGTTTTCTTAAAAGTTTCTTTCCAAGTATTTCTAGATCTTCTTCTAGTCATTTTGCTCTGACCCTCTGTCTTATTGTCGCATCTTTTGATCGGAGTATTTGTATGTTTGTAGCTCATGTGTCTAAATCATCTTAACTAATTTTTTCTAATTTTATCTTCAATTAACAACTATTCTACTTGCCTTTGGATATTCTTGTTCATTATTCAATGCCCTAGGACTAAAATTCTCCATTCACCATTCACCATTCAATGCTTAGGAGAAGAATTCTTTGCTGACCATTCAATGCTGAGTAGTCAAAAGCAATTGTGTCAACCGTAGGAAATATGGTTCACAAGCACGTGTATGCAACACACTTCCTCATACGGGTCCCATTATGTTAGCTTCTCACCAATTATCGACAGCAACTGACACACAAAAGTGATGCAGTTCTTGGTGACTAAGGAAAGAAAAGCATTAGTGGAAAGTAAAAGAGTGAGAAGAAGATACAAAGAAAAGGAAAAAGGATTCGGCGCCGGATGCTTTCGGTAGGAATCCTAGGAATTATGTGATTGTGACAGTTCATTGTATATTCAGTTTTAGTAAGGTACTATTTATATTTAATTTTAAATTTTAAATTTTGAAATAATTTATAACCGCACGATATACGATGAACGGTCATAATCACATAATCATTAGGATCCTTAGGAAAAGGATCCAGCGAGAATCCTTCCTAAGGATCCTCGCTTGATCCTTTTCCAGAGAAAAGCATTAGTGGAAAGTAAAAGAGTGAGAAAAAGATACAAAGAAAATGAGTTGGATTGTGAATAAAGAACTCAGATCATTTTTGAATCCCAATAGCCTAAACCTAAGGATCAAATGATCTGGATCGTTGAAATTTAATCTAATAACTACAAACAGGGAACACTTCTAAAAGTTATAATAATTATAGTCGTTGGATCAAATTTTAACTTTCCAAATCATTTGATTCTTAGGCTTAGGTTATTGGGATCCGAAGAGGATCCGAGTCTGTGAATAAATGTATCTGAATGAAATTGAGGATTCTTATTTTTAAGTTTCTGAGTATTTTAGTTACGACTGTTAAAAATACGAGTAATATCTTATTTTAAAAAGTGCAGATATGAGTGAAACTAATTAATATAAGTAGTATTTTGTAATTTTAAGATGGCCGATGTGTTGCGTTTCTCATTGTTAAACATGTCCCTTCACTTGGAACTATTATTTAACGCATCAAACGTCCAATCACTTTCACATCAGTTATTCAAGCAAACTTTATTTGATATTAAGATTTCAAACAAAATGACTATCTCGTTTGGTAGCCCGTATAACACACCGAATAGGATAAATAGTACGGATGCAGATATTTGGTGCAAATTTGTACTAAATAGTACCCGGATTAATTAAACTGGCCACACACGTTTTATACGGTGTACGCCTACTAAATTATCATCCCAAAATTCTTTGTATTATTAGTCAGGTAGTTTCGCTTCCTCCGCTCTCTCCTTTCTGTCTCGCATCGCGCCTTGCGTCTTCTTCTCCTCCTCCTCATCCCCTTCCTGCTCCAACCAAAACCAACCCCTCTTCGCTTTCCCCAATTTCTCTATCCAACCCCACTTGCAAATTTCTTCTTCTTTTCTCTTTGTTCCCACCTGCAAATTTCTTCTTCTTCTCTATCTGTTATGCCTAAAACTAACCCCTTTTTGTTTTCCCCAATTTTGTAACTACAAATTTCTTCTTCTTCTCCATCTGTTCCGCCCAAACCCAACCCTTTTCGTTTTCCCCAATTTTGCCACCCAACCCCACCTGCAAATTTCTTCTTCTTCTCTACCTGCTCCACCCAAACCCAGCCCCTTTTCGTTTTCCCCAATTTTGGTTTTGGCTGGATGACGAAAATTATGAACAATTTCGTTGAATGATATTAAAATTTTACTTCTTTATTCCTATATATTTGTCCAATCCAATTTTCGTTGCAACATTTGGAGAACTGTAATCGAGTGGGGACCTGGGGGTGGAGTTGTACTTCAGGAATTGTGCTCCATATATGTGTGAATAATTTTGGACTAGGGTTGTTGAATTGTTGATTGGGTGTTGAAGTATTGCTCTGTTGTGGTTTACTGAATAGAATTGTTGATTTTTTTTTCTCTTATCTTATCCGGTTCAATACCAAACACGATATAAATAATACGGTCATTAATCCAATACTGCACCAAACGCCCGACTAATTTAGTCAGTATTATCTAGTGGCTATTTATCCTATCTGACTAAAATAGTCAATACAGTCCGAACTACCAAAAAATGCCTGAGAAGGTTCACCACTAACCACACAAATACTATCACCGAATTAACCACCTATTCAATTGAATAGGCGTGAGGTTTAATCCAAAATTTTCTTAGTGCGATTAGAAGTAGAAGTATTTAATTTAAGTTGTCATTTGTTTTATAAGATGGTGGATGTCGGAGTTTTCTCATGATTCATCAATCTTATTGTAGTAAATGAATAATGGTAAAAACGGTTTTTAATTAAGTGGAAATATATATTTTTTTGTCACTAATTAACCATGCAGCAAGTATCCTTTTGAATGGGCAGTCCATTTTTGAACATGTGACTAATATCAAAGTGATAATAATATCTTGATTGCAAAAGAGAATATCTTCTTTGTGCAGGGATCTTGTGGGAGGACTTGGGGATCGAGATGACATGATGATATTAAAAAAACAATAGAAAGTGAATGAAACATGTGAGATACGTGTTTTGTAGTATAGACATGAGTGAATCTTCATGCATTAGCATTGAACAATTGTTTCATAAACATGGTATGAAGCAAATTACTTGTTTTGCTATTTAGATGGGTAGCCGAGTTTGCGCGAGCGAAAGGAAAGAGAACCGGACTAATAATACATTTTGTTTGGATGATTTTATTAGTCAGGTGTATACTGAATAAAATAAGTGGATCGGTTAAAGTAGTTCAGTGCTTATTTAATACGGAAGAGCACCAAATGGCCGATTCCGTACTATTAATCTTATCCGATTCTTTATAGAAGTTGCCAAACGAGATCTTAATGTCTAGAGTCTAGGGATAAAAAATCTAATTAAACTATATAATTTATAGAGAGAGACGAAATTGCAAAGTAGGACTGCTTAATTAGCGTAGAACACCGCTAACTGCCAAAAGCCTCCACCAACATTCTCACTTACTACTTTTCAGCGAAAAAAAGCTTCAGCCTTTAATCTCCCTCTCCAACTCCAAAGTCCAAACCCAGAAAATGCCCCCAAATCTCTGCACACTCATCTTTCTCCTGGCGACCACCGTCTCCACCTGCGGATCCATAGGCGTGAACTGGGGTACGACGGCGTCGCACCCACTACCGCCGGCCAAGGTGGTGGAGCTGCTGAAGTCCAACAATGTTACCAAGGTCAAGCTGTTCGACGCCGACCCAGGCGTCCTCGGAGCGCTTTCTGGGTCCAAGCTTAGCGTCACTGTGGGCATTCCCAATGCATTGCTTAAATCCCTCAACTCTTCCAAGAAGGCTGCCGAGAGTTGGGTTCATGACAATGTCACTCGCTACGTCTCCAACGGCGACGGCGGCGGTGTTAAAATTGAGTGAGTTTTCGTCCTTCTCTTTGGTTTTTTTGCCCGATGGGGTTTTAATTTGATGCTGCATTTGGATTTTGGGTGGTAAATAGTTAATTTACTGTCGATGAAATTTGATTGTTAGAAATACCCAATTGCTGAATTGCATTGTATTTGTGTTACACATTTAGAAAGAATGTATCTTGTTACTGCTTTTGCTTAGATTAAGTGATACCGTTGGCATTGTGTTGCAATTCTGGGGCAATGTAGGATGTTAGAAAATCGTAGTTTTCGAACGAAGTTGCATTGCGCATGAAGTGGGGACTTTTGTGAAATTATCCTTAGTTTAATGTATATGAAAAGAACCACAAATGAAAGGGGACCATGTCGAAATCTTCGTCACTATGTTTTTCAGAGTAGATGCTTAAACATCACGTCAAGGTTAATCTTTGATGTCGTGTGAGCCGGCATATGGAATTTAAAGATACTTTTATTGTGTTCTTCATGGTTGAAGAACGAAAGAAAATAGTATAATGGTATTTGTGTTCCGATGCTACTAGTTCAAGTCCCCTGGCGTGTTCAAGTGCTGCATTGGTGCTTGATTTTTGGCAAATAAACTGATAAACTTTCTAGGAGATGAGAGATATACCTAGAGGCTAGAGTAAAAAGAAACTTTCCTCTGTCTATTAATTTTTAAAGAGGAGCCTGTTGCCTCTTCAACATGTCAGTATCAGTGATCTCTCACTGGGCTTAATTGCATTAGGACTGGTCGAACGAGCAAATTTTGTAGTGAGAAGGAATCTTTTAGGATTAGCCAGCCGTGCAAGGACAAGTTGACAGATAAATTTTTGTAGCAGGGATTTTGCGGTTCATGAACTCATTAGCATCTTAGAGTAGCTAATGAATATTTGTTTGTTGATCAAATCAGATGTCGAATGGACTTTGGTCATTCATGAATCAATATATGGTTGTTTCGTATTGTATATATTGGTTTCTAACTGGTCTATTTTCAGGTATGTTGCTGTTGGAGATGAGTCATTTCTCCAGAGTTATGGTGAGCAATTTCACCCATTCGTCATAGGAGCGGCAATGAATATCCACACAGCTTTGGCCCGAGCAAAATTGGAGAGCAATGTGAAAGTGGTGGTGCCTTGTAGTTTTGATTCCTTCCTGTCAGAGTCTGGCCATCCTTCAAAAGGACACTTTCGGGCTGACCTCAATAGAACCATGATTAAACTGCTCACGTTTCTCAGCAAGCACAATTCACCATTCTTTGCAACCATTTCCCCGTTCATAAGTCTCCGCCAGAACAAAAACATTTCCCTCGACTTCACTCTATTTAAAGATAATGCAAAACCTCATAACGACAGCCGCAAAACATACAAAAACAGCTTTGACTTGAGCCATGACACCTTGGTTACTGCTTTGTCAACAGTAGGATTTCCGAAGATGGAAATTGTTGTGTCACAGATTGGTTGGCCTACAGATGGAGCAGCAAATGCAACCTCTTCCACTGCAGAGACATTCATGAAAGGCCTGATGGCGCACCTTCGTAGCAAATCGGGAACCCCACTCAGACCTCGGAATCCTCCAAGCGAAACATATGTTTTTAGCCTCTTAGATGAGGACCAAAGAAGCATAAGCTCTGGAAATTTTGAGAGACATTGGGGTGTCTTCACTTTTGATGGTCAAGCCAAGTACCGTTTTGATTTCATCCAAGGTTCGAAAAATCTCGTGGACGCACAGAATGTGGAGTACCTTCCGGCTAAGTGGTGCGTGGTGAACAATAACGGGGACTTATCTAATGCAACTGCTAGTGCTTCAGAGGCATGTTTGCATGCCGATTGCAGTGCAATGTCTCCTGGCGGGTCTTGCTCCAATATCAGTTGGCCTGGCAATATCTCATATGCATTTAACAGCTACTATCAGCAGCATAACCAGAGTGCAGATAGCTGTGACTTTGGTGGCTTGGGTTTAATCACAACTGTCAATCCATCCGTGGATAATTGCAGGTTTTCGGTTCAGCTACGCACTTCTCTTTCAGATTCCTTCCGCCCGGACTACCTTTCCCTGTGCATGACCTTGCTAGTGACAACCCTTTTGTTATCTTTACCCCGATTTACATAGAAGATAGATTTTGAGGACAGTTTTGAGAAAATAGATATCCGAGGAATTTTTTAGCCGCTGTATTATCCGTCTGCTGATCGATTGGTGCCGGTGTTGTTTTTGTAACTCGTAAGTTTAAACACTTATCGAAGCTATTGCTCTACAAAATTAAAGATAGTAAAAGAAGGGTTTGGGAAATCTCTATATTTGTTTCTTGTTAGTATGCAGAGTGAGTGTGAGCATTTCAATTTCCCAATTAGTAAGAAAAGACGAGATGTACGTGCGCATGTGTGGATTAAGTCAGTTGATGGCGGAGTTATCACGAGTTGATTTGTAATTTAATTGGTTAGACTAATGTACCTGCCACTTATGCCGAATTCGAATCTCCCTCCTCTGACTTGTATGAAAAAAAAAAAAAAACAAAAGAAGCTCACTGGTCTGGGCCCTAAGAAAACCCAATACGGACTCAAAGGGTTTCGGGTTTGGGCTTTTGACATGATTAACCAACACGTGTTGGAGCCATAGTCTTGGAGACATATATAAAGTAGAAGTACTCAGCGCGTAAATATCTTTATTTCGAGTCTTACCCTAATCTGTGTGTCCCTGTGATTGTTTCGCTTCTCTCTCGCTCGAACCTAGATCATGGCTGGAATCTACGGTCAAGGGGGCGATGGTGCCCCTCCGACATACGGATCTAGCGGCGGCGGCGGCGGCTATGGTGGTTCTGGCGGATACGGAGGCGGTTCTGGTGGTTATGGAGGTGGTGGTGGAGGCGGGAGCTATGGTGGAAGCGGTGGCGGTGGATATGGAGGTAAGGGCGGCGATGGAGGTGGTTACGGTGGTGGACGGGGCGGTGGCGGTCGAGGTAAATTTCATTACTTTGTTCCTTCGAGTTTATAATTGTTTAAATTCTTTTGATTTTGATTTGACGAATTTGGTTTTGATTGCAGGTGGAGGATATCAAGGCGACCGTGGTGGTGGAGGCAGAGGTGGCGACCGTGGTGGTGGCGGCAGAGGCGGCCGCGGTGGCAGTGGAAGAGATGGTGATTGGCTGTGTCCTAATCCAGGGTAAGCCCTTTCTCTTTTTCTATCTCGTTCTTTCTTTCTTTTTGATTTTGATCGGTTTTATTATTTATTTAATCTTATCCGTATATTTTATTGGGTTTTAGAATTAACTTCTTAGAATTAAAACTTAAAGTATTAGCTTTAAGTCGAAATTTATTTATTTTTGTTTATTTCCTTATTGCATATGTATATTGTGGTTTATGGAATCGGTATGGTTGTATATAGCTGTGGGAATTCGAACTTTGCAAGAAGAGTTGAGTGTAATAAGTGTGGCACGCCCTCTCCTTCGGGTGCCGGTGGTGATCGTGGCAGTGGTGGTGGTTATAACAGAGGAGGAAGTGGTGGGGGCTACGGTGGCGGTAACCGTGGTGGTAGGGGTGGTAATTATGATGGGGGTCGAAGTGGTAACTATGAAGGAGGTAAAAGTAGCAGTTATGATGGAGGCAGAGGCGGTAGTTATGACAGTAGAGGCGGTGGTGGTAGTAGAGGTGGTTCTTATGGTGGTAGCCAAGGAAGAGATGATGGTGGGTATGGTCAGGTTCCTCCAAGTGCTCCACCGTCCTATGGTGCAGCTGGAGGCAATTACGCACCATCTTACAATGCTGGTTATGGAACAGATGCAGTTCCTCCTCCTACAAGCTATACTGGTGGACCTGGATCGTATCCCCCATCTTACGGTGGTCCTGCAGGCGGTTATGGTGGTGATGGTCTAGGTGATGCAAGGGGTGGTGGGCGTGGGGGCCCTCCAGCTAAATATGATGGTGGATACAGTGCTGGTGGTCGTGGTGGATATGGCAGTGGTGCTACAGAAGCCGCAGCTAAGGTGAAGCAGTGCGACCAGAATTGTGATGATACTTGTGACAATGCTAGAATCTACATATCAAACTTACCACCAGATGTTACCGTTGACGAACTTCAGCAGCTCTTTGGAGGCATTGGACAAGTAAATCCATACCTACTTCTGAACTTTGTGCATCCGAGTTTATAAGATTGAATTTTGTTTACTGATTTTTATAGTTTGAGGATCTGTATGGAAATTTATTTTTCATTTCTCTTGCAGTTGTAGGAACAGGTTAAATTGCCTTGTCAGCTCCACAAATTGGTATACATTTATTCGGTTACTTAATGCTAAGTTATTGTTCAGGTGGGAAGAATCAAGCAGAAACGTGGCTATAAGGATCAATGGCCATATAATATCAAAATATACACAGACGAGTCTGGAAAAAACAAAGGCGACGCATGTTTAGCCTATGAAGATCCCTCTGCTGCACATTCAGCTGGTGGATTTTACAATGGTAACTTTTTTCTTTTATTCTGCATGGTAAGATGATGTTTAAGTCGTTCTATTCTAACTAGGTATTGTGCTTACAGATTATGACTTAAGGGGCTATAAGATCAGTGTTACAATGGCGGAGAGATCAGCTCCAAGGCCTTCGTTTGAACAAGGGTAGATATCTATGTACATTTTATAATTTGAATGAAGTTGAAAATAACTCTTTTTCTTGTTGTTCATGTGCTATGTTGCTTCCTCACATTGGGAGAAATTTCCAATGTGGATATGTATCCTGATGTTTAATATTTGCTTGTGGGTTTTATAAATTGTTCTTTTTCCTGATGTCACAATCACTAAAGTCATTGAGTAATTCAATTGTGGTATTCTGTTAATGGGTGATACACTGAATTTCCGATGTGCTTTATGAAATTCTTTTGCAATATATGGTTTTTTGTGGTGAAGAGATGTAGCTTTTTTTTTTTTTATTATGGCAATTTGTTTGCATGCTGGTTTATTTTAACTGTGGGTCCACTGTTTTTGCGTGAATGAGTTTCTGGTTTGCTTATTTAATTTTGTGCTTTTGTCTGCATGCCGAGTCCTGACTTGCTTTTTCTTGTGCAAGCAGTGGTGGTGGTGGTAGAGGTGGATATGGTGGCGGTGACAGGCGCAACAGTTATAGAGACGGTGGAGCTGATAGACATCAACACGGCGGAAACCGTTCGCGTCCTTACTGAGAGAATTTCCAGATGAAGCAGATTTTATGTAATGAGAATTGTTGTCTGAGGGTTTTTGTAGTATTCCGTTGGAGGGTTCTTAAACTGGAGACTAAGAGGTAGGTTGTTCACTAACCCTGAGCAAGGCCTCTGTCCTCCTATATTAACTTTACCTAAAACTATCTGGAGGAGTTTCAATTATGTGCATGGGATTGATATTAGTTGTGTGAATGTTTTATAGAGACAAGTCGATAATCTCCAAATTGCTTGCTGCTATGGTAGGTTGATATTTTCAGGTGAGTGCTGCTCTTTCGTAACCATTATTAACACTTATTTGGAGATTGCCCAGATTTGCATCACTGGGTTCTTGATTGCATCTGATCATTTTATATCTATGGCTCAGATGCAAGCATTGATATCTGTACATGCTTTCTGACTGAAAATTTGTTGCCCGTATGAGAAATCACTGAAGATGCTTCCTGTGGCTGGGAGTTTATATTGGAATGTACTTGATGTTAGATGTGAATCCTGACCATTGGATTGGATTGGATTGGATTTTGCTTAACTTTGATCTCCAGCTGAACTTATTTAAGTTTGCTATCATGTTACATGGAATAGGTTTTCCATGTAGGATTTTGTTATTTTGGTTAGACATTTTTGATCATGTTGTGTGGAGGCTCTTTTCCTACATCGAGGCTTTCGCTTTGCGATGATTTTACTTCACCACATCAATCTAGTGTTTAAGATCTAGTATTGTTTGCCAAAACGTCATGGTGCCTAAAATTTTGCCAACCGGTTGCCTTCATTGTTCAGCTACTTACTGGGTGGGGCTAGTCTTCCTTGAGGGTGGCTGCAAAGTACTTGTGGATGACAAGAATATCTGCGTAGCTACTAGCTCCTAGCTCCTAGCTCCTAGCGTCAACTGTCATGTCCTCCATTCTGTTGCTGATGGATGCTTACTGTCATGTGCTTCTACTGTATTCTTGGCATTTGCCTTGTGGGTTTCTTTCAATTTTTAGTTTAGGGAATGATGGAGTACACCCTAGTAATCACGTTGCGGTCGGAGTTTAAATCGTTGTACTACATCCCAAACACTTGCATATTTGAATCAAACCGTTTGTTTCCTTGATATCTTCTCTATTTTTCCTTTTGGTCTCAAGTGGTGATTTTCTGTTTGTTTGTAAATTGATTTGCTAAATGTTGGGCTTAAAACCGCCCGTCTCCGTACGATTGACATTTTGCGATACGATTTGGTGCTTGTTTTGCTTAGAACTTTTGTCGATCCCTTTTCCCTCTATTGTGTTTGCCTAGTGTTCAACTTATTGGGTATTACTGCTCGGTTCTGTGTAACTCATATACCACATCTAATGGTTGTTACTGCCCGGCACGTCGGCGTCTCAACGCAGGCCCTCGACCCCATCTTATGGTTTTTTATTATGCCGGTCGTATTTATTTTAGCCAAGTTTAAAACTTTCCACTTATTAATGAGAGAGAATATTGTAAGATTGTAGCATTGCGACGCTTTCTTATGTTTATAAAAGATATTTTAGCAATGAGTCAAAAACTCGTAAACTTAACCTTTTTGGATTATGACTTTTAATTTAGTTACGAATAATCTAATATTTTAAAACATGTCAATACAAGTTATGAAAAGTAACATAAAATGTGTTTTTTTTTTAAATTTTAAATGCAATCAATATTTTTGCTCTAAACTACTCCATCGAGAGTGAAGAATTTGAACTTGGAATGTAGTGAGTTAAAAAATAATAGAAAATTGAAAGTGGCAAATGAGATTTCGCCTTTCTTTGGTATAAGTGGGCCTTAATTTCCTTTAAACATGCCTTAAATGGGTTAAAGATTGCAGGCCCATTATGGCCCATCTTATTTTTATAAACCCTACTCAAAGTGGAATTCAGAGACCATTTTGCCGCCCAAATGTCAGAGATCTTTCGCTCACTCGTCTTGAACAGAAGGTCCATTTCTGCTTCTTCTCCAATCTTCCACCCTCTCTCTCTCTGGTATTGAAAATATTGAGCTTTTTCAGGTTCGATGACGTGACGCTACGAGTATTGGAATCGGCATTGGTTTCGAAGGACGTAAAGTCGTCGATAGAAGTCAGGTCCGGCTTCAGGCAGTTCATGAGGTCGGAATCGCTCTCCGTTCTGCGAGAAACTGCAGAGAAAAATGCGGAAGAGAAGCTTCTTGTTCTCGAGTTTCTTGTTCGCGCTTTTGCACTAGTAGGCGATGTTGAGGCAAATATTCTCAAAATTCAAATCCTCTCAATTTCATCGTGTTCATCGCACTTCCTTACTTTGATTCAATTAAAGATTTCAATTTCAGGCGTAATTATTCCTAAGTTTAATTTTTTTTCATGCCACTTTGGCGAAATTGGTGAATTTTATGAAGTTAATTATGTCATAAGCCAAATCGCTAGGGTTCTTTGGAATTTGGTACTAATTATCTGCTATGTGCTTGTGGATCGGTTTGTGATTGCAGAGTTGTTTGGCTTTGAGATATGAGGCATTGCTTTTGCGGGACATCAAATCTTCGACGAATCCATGGCTACAAGTTTCTTATACGGAATGGCTGAATTTTGCTCACCAGTCAAGAGATAGTGGTTTCTATTCAGTTGCAGGAAAGGTGAGTGTGATCATCACCTTCATAACTATCACTACTTTTTATCAGTGTTCTTAATTTCTTAACTTATTCGTATCCGGAGAAGCAGTGCAGGTGTAGCTAAAGGAATAAAGAAGGAATTTTGTTTGATAAATTTTCAGATTATGATTGATTTATTACCCATATCTATGATCAATTGCTTGATAACTAAATCTGTGGTCGATACCCAAGTTGTCCTTTTCCATGAGATTTCTTGTTTTCAAGTTAACAACACATAATTCAGTTGACAACATGCAGATTTCTTATTTTTCAAGCTTGGGACAACATGTTTTAAATTTGTTGTTATTGTTTCTTTTGATTGCTATTGATTCCTAAAATGAGCGGCACAAGTGCAACAGATCTTATATTTAGTGCTATACAAATGGCTTATTTACTACTAGATGAAGGTGGATTAGACACGCAAAACTATTGCATTTTTATCATGTAATTGCTCATGTTATATGTAATAACAAACTGCATGCTATGTTTGTTTTTCGACTCACTTCTTGTATCGTCAATCTTTGTTATTGTGGTGTATATCCTGATTTAAGCTTTTTCTGTAGGCATGTGAACATGCATTGGATTGCATTAAGAGGAAATCTACTGAAGACCGTAAAACAGATGAAGTTAACGTTATGAAGAAATCTACTGAAGACCTAAAAACAGATGAAGTCCTTGAAAGTGTGCAAGCAATTGAAAAGATAAAGAGACTCAAGGATTGTGCCATGGCATCTGCTTCTTCCCACTCTGGTAATTCTTCCTAACCGTTTTGATTTTCTTCAATATGAACGCCGCATTTTTGTTTGTGTACTTTTATGTGCCAGAATTGCTGATAGAGTCAACTTGAAAGGTGAATTGATAATTATGTCCACACTCTACTGTGGTTGCTTTCCAGGCTTCCTATTTGCTTCGTAATATTAGGTCATAATACTGAATGCTTTCGGTTAACCTATTTGCGATGTGAAGTAAGTTTTGATGCTATTATCTCTGCTTCCAAATAGTGAGAATTTATACTCAGTTTATACTCAGGTTACAAACCTCTCGCTTTCGTCGTAATAGGGGCAATAATGAAATGCAAAGATATGGGTAGGTGGGGAAGTCGGTTAGGATTAAGCTATGTCAAGGGTTCGCTACTCTCCATTGTAACGAAAACAAATGTATGATGTTGCAGTGTTTGCTGCAGTTCCTCAATCGATAGTTACTCCTGCTTAGGTATCTCTACAGGAAATCTCAATGTAGTTCTTCTCTTTGGTTTTATGTGACTCATATTTGGTAACTAAGTTAATGTGTTAACTTATCCACGGCATTCGGGGGTTGTTTGCTATAATTTGATCGTGGAAACTTCTATTGGCTGATATCAGTTCAAGCGCAGACGGCAGACTACTTGAAAAAGAGACTAAAGGAGAAGAGCACGGAGCGTCCCTTAGATTTCAAGGAGCCAAAATGTGTTGTAGCAAGCACTTTGTTCCGAAATGGAATCAGAAGGCGGAATCTACGAAAATTGAACACGAGTCGAAGCTTGCTGGGGATGACTAATGAATCGTAGCCTAGTCCATTTTGGGGGACATTGTCAACATCCTTGTGCTCGTGCTGGTGGATTCTATTTGCAGTCTAGAAGGGGAACCCTGAAGTTTAATTTAGAGGTGCTTTTGTGCACCAAGTGCCTGAATATCTTAAACATAACAAAGATAAGGTCTACAATCACAACAATAACAATTGGTCTCATGTAGTATGTCTTACATTGACATTGTAGCTGTCAAACTACAGTAACAAGGGGCGGACTTGTAGCTTATGTGGTTAAGAGTCGTTATCCTGTATTTTAGGTATTGTGTTCAAATGGCTTTCTCGGGATATTTACTTGTACCAGAAATAAACATAAACAAAAATGGCTTCTAAACCCCCACGATTGGGGACATTTTGCCTAGATTACAAGACTGAATTCTAGTGACATCATCATTCAATAAATACGTACCATAGTTGGGGACATTTTGCCTAGATTACAAGACTGAATTCTAGTGACATCATCATTCAATAAATACGTACCATAGTTGGAGACATTTTGCCTAGATTACAAGATTGAATTCTAGTGGCACCATAATTCACTAAATGCGTGCCTCTTGTTTTAGAGCAGATACAAGAGTAAATATACTGAGGTAAACTGTATGATCAATCTAAAATAATGTCATTAATAAGAAAAAGAAAGAAAACTAATAAAAAAATGTTTGAAAACTTTAAATTTTAACGATAAGGACAAAATAAAGGGTAAAATGAATAGTATCAGAATTGACTTTTTTTGTGTAAAAATATAATTTTTCGTTAAAGTGAATAGTATCGGAAATTTTTCGTTAAAGTTTTCAAAAATAATGTAACTTTGTGGACTCAAATATAAACCAAAGCCCACTCAAGCTCTTTACGAGTTCATCCGTTTCAGACTCAATAGGTTGGTGTTGTTCATTTACAGGAACAATAAACTTGTTGCTATACAGACGACAAAGGATTTCTTAAATCAAGGCTAGATACGAAGTGAAAGACGAAAGCCAAACATTTTTTCTTTAATTATTTTATTTTAGATAGTGCTATTCACACATTTCTTTATACTTCTTGAATAACTTTTTTAATTTTTTTTATTAATGTTCTTTAATTCATTCGATATGATAATAAAAAATTAAAAAAAAATACGTAAGAAATAAAAATAAGTGTGGATAATATCACTCTTTTATTTTAAAAATCACATTGGTTTTCTCTTAGGCTTGGAGTTCTGTGTATCAGTCTGCAAGGCCTGATCGCAGGCACCCAGGTGGCATTCTCAGGCCTGCTCAATTAGAGGGCCATAGGACAAAAGGTACTCATACTTATCTTTCCTTTTCCTTTTTTTTTTGTTTATTAATTTGACTCTCTTCTGTATTTTTTTTGTGCGTGAAAGTGGTCTATGTGCTACTCTAATGAATTGAGATCCTCCCTCGATATCTAGATTCGAAGTTTCTCCATCTTAGTTCCTTTTTGTTTTAAACTGAGTACTTCGAACAATTTCCTCTAGTCAGTCTTAGCACTCTCTCTCGTTATCATCGAATATGTTCTGCTATTTTTCATTTCAATGAATTTGAAAATTTAGACCACTTAATTTAAATTATGCAATTCTCATTGGCCCACTTTATATAAAACCAAACCCTTGACGAGTAAGATCTCTCTCTCCCTTGACGGCCCGGCTTTTTCGATTCGTATGCTCCGGACACAGAGATCTAGAGAGAATCTCAACTCCTATTTTCTAAGAAATTCTGGGTCCGACAGTCGAACCACGTGTCCGTGCGGCTTCAGACACCAAAAAATGCACCTATTCTACTCTTTTTTTTTTGGGTGGTGCTAGCCACACACCCTTTCTTACCTTCTATACACCCCCTGTTAATTTTTTTTTTTTTACTCTTCTCAATTTATTCAACTTGAAAATGAGAGGAGTATGTGGAACGTAAAAAATGATGTGTAGATAACATCACCCTTCTCTAATTTGTCATGCTAGTCCTTGTCCACTTCTAGTTCACCCCTTTCACACCACCCCTCATCTGGTGTTGCACACAAGAGTCTCTCCTATTTACTTCCGTCTCTTGATTATTTTTTAATTCATTCAATTTAAATGCTAGAAAAAAAAAGTGCAGTAAGACAAAACAAAGTGCGTTAGTAATTTCCATTTTACACACTATGTATAGTTTATGTTGGCAATGGTCTTTTGGGTACTACGTAGAATTTTGAAATCAAAACTTATGTACTTGCAACACACTTGTAGTTTAAGTGTTTGAGAGCAATTAATCATACTGCAGAAGTGCTAGGTTTAATTTTTCTATTTCTCGCTTCTATGAAAAAAGTTATGTAACTGAAAGTTATGGCTATACTGATAATTAACGTGGCCTAGCTTTTACCGGCCGCATCATATTTGCCCTAATATTTTTAAGCTGAAAATACTTATTTTTATTTGTTTACATATTAACCATGCACAGTTTAACACGCGTGTATGAATATATATATTTCTTTTTACATACTTTTAATGAGTTACTTTTACTAATATGTCAAATTGTGGTTGTAATTTTGTAGAAAAAAAGAAGAGAATATGACTCGTTTTAAGAATGCAAACCCAAACATATATAGTTATTTTCGTTGTTTTGAGTTGATAGTGGGAAAATGGAAGCATCGGAAATCCAACACCACTCTGTTCAAGCAATTGAAATTGAAATTGAGGTGAGGATAGCACCATATGACCGAAGTTTGAGGGTGCCATTGTCCAACTTATATGGCTTCTAATGTTATCCACCATTTTAGAATATATATTAAGAAAACCTGCATGCATATATCTCAAGAATCGAATCTTCCATATGACCAAGGCAATTGCATTCAATGTTTGCATCGGAGGTTGCATGTTTTATTTTCCTCTAAGTTGATGAAAGATGTCTGTTTTTCCTCTACTTTATTCATTTGCTTAAAATATACAGTAAAACAAAAACTTCACATAGATCTCACCGTCTAGAGCGTAGAAGTTTTTCTTCTTCCTAGACCTTAGGGTTTGAAACTTGAAACACAAAACTGAAACTTGTATAATATTAATTAAAAATATATACGCGTTTTCTGTGGTAATGTGTTGATGAAATGAAGAAAGCAGAGGAATAATATATTGCCGAAGAAGAAAGAAATTCAACATTTTTTTCTTCTTCATATGATGTATTTGTTGAAAGTAATAATTGCTCATTAGGGAAAGAAGAGACTCTATGGGCTGGTTTGGTATTGCTGTGCTTTGAAAAAAAGCTGCTGTGAGAATAAGCGGCTGTGCTGTGAGAATAAGCGGCTGTGAAATAAATCAGCTGAGTGTTTGGTAAACTTTTTTGTAAAAGTGCTTTTGGAAAAAAAAAGCAGTCTGATAGTGGGTCTTTTCATTAAAGAAGCACTGTAGCTCCGTGTGCTTTGAAAAAAAGCCAGTTTTCCAAAGCTACAAATAGCAGCTTCAGCTTTTTCCTTTGATTTCAGCTTATTCTTACAGCAGCTTCTAAAATAAGCCTTTTTTTTTTCAGTTTACCAAACACCTAAAACTCTCACAGCTTTTTTTTCATGGGTGCTTTTTTTTTTAAGCACCTCACTCCCAAACTAGGTCTATATATGCTTATAAGTTGTTGGGTTACCTACTGTATTGTTAATGGGTTTATAGTAGAACCTCAAATACTGAGGGATGAGGGATTTAAGTACGCCACATAATAAACCAACCATAATAATTTAGTATCAAACTTGTCATCCATATAGTAGTTGAATTTAAAACCTCTTACTTGTAAGTAGAGAAGAATATTATTTAAGTGTAAAAAAAAATCAACGTTATAGCCCCACATAATGAACAAGTCATAATAATTTAGTATTGAACTTATCATCCTCTGTCAGACTGTTAATGAGTCGAGTCATTATTGGGTCATCCGTTTAGAACCGACCTTTAATGATTTGGTTTGTTATCGGATCACACATTAAGAACCCATTAAGATGACGGGTATGACACATAAATGACCCGTTTGTCAGGTTTAGACATTAGGCATGACAATTTCTTTTCAGACCTATTACCTCGATACGAACACGATCTGTTTGTCGGGTCACCAGTTTGTCAGGTTTAGACATTGGCCATTAGGCATGACAATTTCTTGCATGACCCATTAAACCAACAAGAAACAACATAATCTGTAACGAATCGAGTCCTTATTAATTCACTTGTTCTTTGATACGATACGAAGTATGACAAAATGATACAAATGCGACAACATGACCCGTTTTCCAGGCCTCAGTAGTCGAATCTAAAACTCTCTCACTGATAAATAGAAAAGAATATTAGTTATGAGACTCTAGTTTTAAGTGGCAAATAACTTCACATTATCGCCCCCATTACAATATTAGAATAACACACACATATATACATATATTGTGTGAGAGATCAGAGATGAGTGTCTAATTGAAAACACAGGCATTATTTATACTTTAAGATATATTAATTGATGCTACGACTTAATAATAAAAAACGAAAAACGGATATATATAAACATATGCCATGACAACTAGCTAGGGGAAGAGAGCTGTTTTCCTCGGAACAAAAGATTAGAAGCTTGGAATCATGTGGAGATCATTAAATGCAAGAGAGTGAGAAGAGGTCTTAGGGTTTCACAACTGCTATTTGTTTTAGTTTCAATCTCTCTCGAAACGGGTTTCCTTTTTATTAATTTCTTAAGCCTTTGCTTCATGTCGGATCTCATTAATTGGGTCACATTAATTTCTCTGTGGAGGTTTAGTATTATCTAATATGCTTATTTATTTTTAATACAACGTATACATGTGATTGAGGATTTTTTTAAATTAGATAAAACTTAGTAGTACTGGTCACTCGTGTGACGTGTTAATTCATGGATGGTTTGCGGCCATGCAATGTTTGAACATGCATGCATTGTGCCAAAAAAATAGTTTACAACTTGTATTTCTTTTTATTTTTTCTCTCAATAAATTGAATTCGATATATATAAGTTTGTACTTGATTAATTATATATCTGTTAGGTTTGAATTAAAATAAAATGTTTCATGCCTTGCATGACTGTGGTAGATGGATTGGTGCATATGCCTTAGGAACTTACTAGTTTACAAGCTAAGCTGTGCAATTTCTAGCTACTTCATGAAAGTAAGGTCTACCAATTGCCAACAGAAGTTTGCTATTCTACTAGTTGCTAATTGGTTTTGTAGTAACGTTAATTTTCATTATGATATTGGAGTTTGTTTACCCTAGCTCAATGGCCATATGTGCTTTGTCTACATGTTAGGTTTTAAAGTTTCGTCACACGTGAAGGAGTATTAAGGATGTGAAGAATTATACCAGTTCATTGTTGCCGATGAATTTTAGAGTATAATCTACACATGGGTCCATCAGAAACGAT